GGGTCATCCAAAATTATAATTTTTCTTACATATAGTTATCTTCAGACTTCAATGACACCACTAGTGAGTGTCTGATTAGGTTGAATTAAATTTATAAGAAAAGTCTTATTTTCATATATACTGAAGCTTGGGTAAGTTCGTACGAACATTCAATTTTATTTATGACGCTTTTATAAATGACTTGATTGTTTAGATTTCAGATTTTTCCCTATAACACAGCACTTCCGATGTTTATGCAGATCTCGTCAGTTTCTGTCAACACAAGTGTCACATCACACTGACCGCTGTTTTATCGGGAAGTACTCGTGATATATATATCGGCGAGTATATTAATTGTTGTATGGTATGAACACTATAGCTTTGTGTTGTAATTTAATCAATTTATATTGTAAATCATTGGAGATGCGCTTTATGGCTCAATTTTAATTTTGATAATACTAAATAAATGATATTTTAAAGCTATAGTCAGTCAAATGTATTCTTCGCGATTCTAAAATCCTTTATATAAGATATATCATTTAAGATATTGGTTCTATATGCGTGTACTCTATATGGTGAGTTCAAACTGAAGCATTGTATACTCTAGGACAGAAATGTAAAAGAACTCTCCTAGAATACATTACCAGCTTGTTCACCAGCCTTGTTGACATGTGGATAGATTTATTTCGGCCGTTGCAAAACAAATAACAAAGGTTTGTTTAAAATTTACTATAATTATTGTGTAAAGCGTGCGCTTATTAACATTTCGACAAAAGCATGTATCTGCAATGAGATGAAGTTTTTAAACAAGGTCGCAAGTATAGAAAAATTTAGGAAAAATCCGTTTAAACTAGACATGTGAAAGGTGAAACTCTTGTGATGTTTTAGAAAGTGATGGTCAATGTGCGAGATTGTAGTCATCGAATTGTTTGTTTTAATCGATTAAGTTTTCACAATGACATGGTGTATCTAACGAGCCATGTCAGTATGAATATTATTGTGAATAGTGATTTGTTGTCTGGCTACGGACAGGGATGACATGCTAAATATTACAATTGGACTAAGTGCAATATTATTGGCGGGTCATTATTGGGCTACATGTAAATACAGCATTTCGTGAAGGGTCATGTAGGGGTTAAATGCGAATAGGTGAATCCCCTTGTTTATTCGTGTAAATAAAACGATAACAATTATACTCCAAGAGTCAGGTAATTGCAATTCAATAGTATCCGTAAGTATATATACATGGTTTTTGGTTTCATATGCATACTTCTATAGAAATCATCAGTAGAAAACTTGATTTGCTGTGAATATCAACTAACAGTAAATGTCCTTTATTTATTAACCACCCTCTATTCAGGTATGAGCCAGTGATGAGGCATGGCCAATAATTGAATACTGGCCTCATAAATATGCTTGTACTCCGTGCTGCAATGTGGCTTGTGTTTATGAAAATTGACCTAAGATGTGCTTTAAGTGATAGAGATTACCGGGTTTATTTATAAATTACAAAATGACAGATTGATAAGTTATTGCAGACCGCAATGATCTGAAGATAGACATGGAATGCTTTCTATATACAAATTGATTTTAAATGGTATATTCGCGGCTCGTTCACGACTATACTTAAACACGACAGCTGTTGTCCCAGTGATACTTGCGGTGAAGCTCGATTGAAGAAAGCACCTTTGCCGCAAACCATGACCCAGATTTCGGCAGGTCGCAATCATATTCTCCCTTGTTGCCAAATTATTTTGTTTGTTTCAACTCGCGTTCGGGTTACGGTCAATGGGCCTATAGTTATCACGTAAAAACAATTCGGCAAATCAGTGATAAACAAGAGTCGCCAAGAAACACAAAACAATGCATATGAATTTACTATGAAAAAATAGGCAAACAATACAAGCTGCAAGTTTTTGGTATATTTGGATAGTTGAATGACCGAGAATATACTGATATACCAAGTATCATATGCGTGGGTTCAAATACCAGTGGGTATTAATGCTTTCTCTTCAGTTTCATTTTCTGGATAGTCTGATAAAGATTTTTATGAAGAATGTTTTTTTACCTTATACAATGCATTACGTTTCATCTGAGAAATCGTTCTTTATTGCCACTGGTATTTTAAACTTTGCCTTATTTACTCGAAGCTGTCGTTTTACTATGTCATATTCCACATACAAATTTTTGATTCATCGTATGGTTGATTAGCAATCTGTATCGCAGAAAAGAAACAATATGAATTATATATGGTCAGCTACTCATGGACATTTGAAAATATTGTTCTATTAAGACCCAACATTTATGAAGTTCATCCATGATTAGGTAAGAACGGTTTAGTTAGTGAGGTTATTGTGTAAGTTGTGTATTCAATTTCTTAAGCCAACAAATATTTATAAGATTAGCGATCGATGAATATTTATGAGTGTATAGCTGTAGCACAAATTTCTGAACTACAAAATATTACAGAAAAGCTTCCCTGGCATACTTAAATTTAAATATTAAATATAAATATAAATTACTATGACATCAATAATATGACAATATAAATTTCAAGAAAGTATTTAATATGAAAGATTTTTTTTTAAAGCTACTTACTAATTGTGTGCTTTTATATTTATGTAGCGATTTGTGGCATTGATTGCGTCAGCATAGGTTATACCCATACAATCTTTTTAAAAAGTTTGGGATTAACAATAACTTATTACCCTTGGCGAAACTACCAAATTTGAAGAAAAAATAAATCAGTGAAATTTAAATCGCAGACATCACAGACGCGCTTCACTTTCTAGACGTCGTTTACTATGATCGAGTAGTTTATCAATGTTTTGAGTAAAACTAGTTATATTCGGATACATCATCGATGTGACTTCAAGGCCTTCATTGATAGCAGTTGATGTGTTTTCATCCAGACATGGCCATAGAGGTATGGTATCTTATGTTTGGTAGAGTATTTATTTTGGAATTTATCAAGTATTGTCAACTTGAAAATATTAAAGCAAATCGTGGTCAAACGTTAGAGTTTACCTTTATATAATTAGTTGATCTCTTCCTCCAATTTTTATTTATAATTACCGCAGTGAGTACCGTCATGGTTAATGAAGTTCAGGCGTAGTTCAGTGGCCTGTTAGGACAAACATTAAACTGAAATAATGTTTGAACAAAAGGGATTGTCGTTTTTCACGACTCAGGCTATAGGTGAAAACTGTAAGTAGTTAGGAATGTGCTGTACTTATTTGCTTATCATGTGCTATAAGCAGGGTTACCATATCGTGCTTATTTCTGAGATTTGTGCATATTATCTGGCCCGCGTCTTATAAATTAACGATGTGCTTATTTCAAAGAAAAGTGCTTATTTTTGAGTTGCGTTCATATTTTGTCTTAGAACATGCATGACACGTTCATGTTTGCGTACAAAGCTTCCGTGGAAACAAGGGACGATACATATCATTATACCTAACGCGTATTCGCGCTTCGTTGTGTTATTATTGTGACATATCGATTAACTACGTTCCACCGTAACCTCATGCCTCGGACTTGCTCACTCTTGTTTATCATTGAATAGTGTTATTTTGATTGGTTGATTTCTAATACCATTGTGTTCAAACAATTCATGCTCAACAAAGTGAAAACACCCCGTGAAATACCCTTATCAAGCAATGAAACTAGGAAAAACGGGATTTTTTTTGGTGAAACGTAAAATCCGTTTTGCGCTGGCATGGTGGCCCCTTCCAACTGCTCTGTAGCCCTCTACGTGGGCCACGGACTCCGGTTGGGAACCACCGCTTTAGAAGTTGCGTGTGGTTGTGACTTCGTGCCTTTCCATGTATTTCTTGATCGAAGCGACTTCTAATGAAAGAAAACTTAACTGGATGAAAAATTGGGAGAGCGGAAGAGACTCTTGTATGATTTCTTTTCCATTTTTATACTGCGTTTCTGCCGTTGTTAAGTACACCCAAAAATACCCTTTTGACACCCGTGCTTCTTTTTGGCTGTAGGTAGGTGTAACCCTGGCTATAAGGTAAAATTGACAATGAATCTATTGGTCAAAAACAGTTTGAAATAAGCAGATCCAAAACGAAAATTAATGGATTTCATGGAATCAGAATACATTAGATTTGTGAAATGTTGAAATATCGTTTCACTCAATGTTAGAAGTTGTTCAAATTGGCTAAACGATACTTTAACGGGACAAAGCTGGTCCACGGGATGAACTCAATAATTGCTATCGCTCAATTTTTCTCGCAGGTTTGGTTGGCGCCCTGACAACTTGTACATATATTTAACTAAGCTGCAAAGTTTAATTCTGTATTTTTGTTGGGATATGCCTGTTTAGGTTTTATACAATTTGTGTTAATGTTTTTATTATTATCATGGGGTCAGATTCAAGTTCCCCGAAACTCATTTGAGTGGGATTAGTGATCGTTAAATTCCACAATCTCTATTTATTATGAAATTTATTTCTTTTGCAGCTACTTTCAATAGATTAGCTCTGTCATCAAAACCACTAACCGTTAATCCGCCAAGGTGGGGTAAATCATCATCTTCTACAAATCTCGTAGCAAGAACACTTCGAGGTTTTAATTGGTTGATAAAACATTTCAAGACGAAACATTCGACCGAAAAATTTCCAACTAAGCAAATTGCCATGCCACTTATTTGTATATATTTTTGAATTACACATTATGTTATTTTTCATCCAGTTTCACTAATATATTGAGCATGAAAAAGTTGGTTAGACTAGGTCGGACCGGTAGAATTCTATTTCTTCACACTTTTGAATAGATAAAACACAAGCTTCAGCACCTACCTGTATCAGAGATATTTTAGAGAAGATCGGGATGTATAATTAAACTAGAAACTTGCTGAAAAGCCCATTGCAATATAAAAACCTAACCGGAATTCAAAACGGGAATATGATTTCCACAATTTCTTTAAAAATAGATAAAATAATGATTGCTGCTGTAGCTGATTTTCGAGGATTTGTTTTTGATTATATTCTTGTTCAAAATGAAACTTTGCTTTCTATTTTTTTCTAGAAAATATAGCTTTATATTTAACATAACATTCTAAAAGTTGCCTAATAACTTGATCGCTTCATCATTGATTACATGTTCTTCTAAGAAAACAATGGTGATCAGGATATCGGCATTTCTTTTCATTACATTATCTATGATGTTTGTTGTATCGGCAAATGACTTTGCTGGAATATCCGGTAAGACACGTTTTAAATCTCACATTTGTTTGCGGAAAACCTTTTCAAAACATTCGGATGCATATTTCCAATGTTCTTGTTGAATAGAATAAGAATGAGTTATTATTATCCGTTTCATCTATTTCCCGTGTCTGGTAGAGTGTTGAAGATTATAATTCGGAAATGTGAAATAACGCAGCAAACGTGACTTTACATCAGCTTGGTAATTTAGTTATAAGTGTTACCCGCCCCTTACGTGACATTTCGCGCAATGCCAGTATATCATTGATGTATGCACAATACCCCGCAATGGTCGTTTCAAAAATTACTAAAATTTAGAATATGTTATCAAGATTGACGCTGAATATTTTGAAGGATTTCATGCTATGTGTGCACAAAAGAACATTTATACAAGAATACTATTGTTTTGAATATTATGATTATTTCTCATATTGATAGGTATACAACTAAACAGCTAAATTAATTTTTTAAATGGCGCGTTGGCAGTTTATAACACACTTTTCATCTTTTTTTTCAAGTTTCAACTAAATCATTTATTTAAACAGGATGTAGAGCGACAAAACTTGATCTAGTGTTTGTGGTGGACGGATCAACTCCTGATTTTCAATATGATTTTGGTTATGTTCGAATGTGGATACAAAATATTACCTCGCATTTTGATATCAGTCCGTTTACAACAAGAATTGCTGTAGTACAGAGCGGGTAATTTGCTAAGTTGTTACTAGCCATTTATTACATCTTTCTCTCGAATTTTGACTTTTACTGTTTCAATATTTTTATTCGTGAAAATTCAGTTGATTCCCTACTTCTTCGGCTTAGCGTGAACATAATACTAAAATATGAATATTTGGTTTTTCAAAAATTGTTGTTTTGAATAATCGATCATCGATTCTTTATATTTTCTTATTTGCGGCCAAAGTAAAATAACAAGTACCCTTCAAATCTATACCTAGCTCTGCTTTACCTAGTTTACTAGCCCTGTATTTCCTAGAAAATTTTACTGCAAAGATTTCGTTGTTAATTCCCGGCGAGAGTAATTTACCCTTGATGGCGATATGGAAGGTTTGCATTGGGGCGAGAAATGTCAAGTATTCTGTTTTGATGATTTCCGACAGGACGAGACAAGATAACTTTCTGATTATATTCACTCGGCCCATCCAAGGCATAAATTTAACTCAAGTGTCAATTATGCAGTTTGATAATCTTGTAAAATATTCCAAGCAGACGCCATAGATGGTACTTCGTGCGCGGAACGAAACCCAAAGAGATAACTTCTCATTCCATGTGTTAAATCGTACTTGTTGGTGAGAAAATGAACATGAACGAAATGTATAAGACCTCAAACTAGTAACGATATGCAGTAGGGTGTTATCTTATACTTCTGCTATCGTATATTGTCTCGTCACGAGATGATCGTATTTCATGATGTAAGGTTATGAAGCGAACACATGTATAGTAATTTTTCAATTTTTACTTTTAATTTGACTGATACTAGATTTCAGTGCGTTATGAAATACTTGAGTTGTACAATATTAGTGTTATGAATAATGTCAATTAATTCTAATGTGGCGGAAAGTAATTTCATGATGTTGGCTGTTTTTCCGTGCGCAATTTTTGCTTGATCATATGAAAGGTTACAAAATACAACTATACAATAAAAATCAGTCGAACAAATTGAAAATCCAATACACACTATCATCCCGAATCTTCTAGCGCAATTTGTCTAGTCAAACCTTCTGGTATTTTCGAAGTATCTGATACAGAAAACAGATACTTGTGTGGTCTGATATAATCAACTTTTACGTTAACTTTATCCTCGTTGTGGTATGCGGATGACAACGTATACATATTAATTTTGTTTTTGTCAACTCCTAATTTGTTCTCTCATCTACCACGAAAGGCTGGCCAACATTAATAAAACTTATGCGTTGGCAAGCCTTTATTAGCATACAGATCTAACATCAAAATATATTTTGTGGTGTAATGTTGTTCATGAACGTGGCTATACAGTAAATATTTATACATGATCGCCGAATATATTGAGTTGAATTTTTTCCTGTTCAGCAATAAATGCCAGTTTTACGTATACATCTTTCCAGCAATATACAATAGGCCGGATAGGGTACTGTTTTTCATAAACGCTTTTTACCGACAGCAATATACCAAACTCACTCTGCTGGCAATGACATCAGTCTGGTACTACCCAGTCTGAAAATGCATGTCATAATTTCGATTGATTTGATCCACAACGACTCTTATTACACTGCTCCAATTAGGCATTGAATCTTCGTATTCTATGAATCTTTCCAATACAGTAACAGTTATATCTTGTCTGAACATCCATTCGTAACCTTTCGATTAACTATAAGATAGCCACAATATTTATAATACACAACGTTTGGCTGGTTGAAAAACACCGACTTCTACGGAAGTCGTCGCATGCCGCAAAATATTTAGTGGTAAGACAGCGGACGATCGTCTTTGATTACGCGGTACATGTTGGAACGAAAATTCATCACACAAGAAATATCTAATAACAATTAATGTCAAAGGACCCATTTCGAAGAAAACAGCAACAAATATAACATGTCACGATAAATACCAAAAATGTGAAAAATTACTTATAGTGCTTTTAGTGTAGCTTCAAACCAACTTAACAATAATCTATAAAATCTGTTCATACTTTGATCTATTTAAGATGTATATTCAAATGATTCATTACATCGATACTGTATTTTTATATAAGGAAAAACAAGTACTTCGGCCTGTACAGCGATGAAATGCAATTTTAATCTGATAGCAACATCCGATCAGCTTTCTGATATAAATCTCACAACAATTCAATGTTGCATCGTTTGATATTCAGTCAATTATACGGTAATCTGTTAAAACTCGAGTGAGGAAAACTGAGTCCCAAACCATGTATATATACGCATGACTCAAGCATAAACAAACTTGTCGAGACGTGGCATAATGTTCATACAAGCTATATTTATTAGCATGATTTGCCACCATGAACCATGCATGACCAACCAATCATGAACCATGCATTTAAAGTATTGAAGACTTATTCGGGCTTTGTTTTATGTTATACGTTATATAAAGTTAATGTTATATGTATAATTTACAGGGATACTCCATACACAGAGTTTGATTTTGAAGCTTTTGATTCAATCGACAAGGTTCTAGGAGCAGTGAATAACATACAATTCGGAACTGGTACGTACGTACTTTAATATTTACCCTGGTTTCTTTGGCCACTTCACAATAGTAATGTTGCAATCAACCACTGAAAAATCATGATCTGAATAGTTGTTTCAAATCATTCAGTGTCACGAACACTTTTGATGATTTACCTGAACGTTTCGAACCCTATCATATGAAACCAGGTAATATTACACAAGAAGTCTCTACTAGAAAACGATGTTTGGAGACCCAAACCGTAATCTGGCATATAAACTATGACGGATTTGTTGTATTTCCGATCTGACCACTAAGCGGTTTCATTTGCTTAATTGCTTTCGTCCAATACACGAATGGGATGCGCTCCGATCGGAAACACGAGCAAAATTCAGCAGTATATGTGGAAACAGTCGATTATCGTTTGATGACTATAGGGGTACCAAATGCTTAGGCATTGCGTACAGAAAGGAATTAAGTTTACTGACCGACGTTTGTTCATAATCAGATTTTATTTTAATTTGCATTCAAAGTCAAGCGCGTGAGTTTACTCCAGTTCAGTATCCGTTCGTAACGCATGTTTCGTCTAGTTCCGTTTGGGTTATTCCAATGGCGTTTTTCGAAACCATATATTCATTTATATGTACATGCTATAGATGTACCAATATATTAGTCTCGGTATTTGAATTCTTTGAAGTGGAAGTTAATTGGAACCTGCACGCAGGTTAACTTCCTAGGCTCTTCACAGTTGGTATAAGTGGGTGATTTCTCTTAAAATGAATGAGCACACTCTGCACACATATATTTTACCAGGGAAGGAAATCGGCCCGCTATGAATTTTCTAATCTAGCACATCGGTTCCTCTAGCGCCCGTGCACGGCGAAACGTTTGGAATAAACTGTTTAATAGAATAAACTGTTTAATAGAATTGCAGACGTACAAAGTTAAAATGCATTTTACTGTGAAATTAGTTCAAGTAATTTAATTAACCGTTAGTAATGAGCGTATAGTGACACGCCATTCATGAATTTGAATCACAAGAACGGATTTGAAGTTACGCATTCTCGTGTTTTGGCATATCAGTTCTTCTATTTGAAATAATGGAATAATGTTCTGTGTGAATACTGTTAGCAGACAAATATTTTATACCATACAATCAAAAACAATGTTCATTCATTGATGTTAATTACATATTATTGGAATATTGTTGATATCGGCAATTTCAAATATCAGCGTATCGGAATCGGCGGTTTTTCATTAGTATCGGATCGATATCGGAGAAATTTGTTTTTGTCAGTACATCCCTAGTAGCCTACATATGGACAAGGTATTGTGATACCAAAATTGTCACTTTTAGGACATCCATCCCAGTTTATTGCTCGCAGAATGAACTTGGTGTTGTGGGATTAAATCACAGATTATCAGTAATTCTAAATGAGTGTTCGGAAACTTGAGTTGAAAATCCTCTTTAAAAAATGGTTTATTTTATATTCATAGATTTTTAGTCAGTAAAACAGTATTTTGTCATTATATACAAGTAATATACGCCACTTATCACCAAAGTTTAAAAGCAGTCCAAATCTAACATACCGATCAAAAAAGTAGAATAAACCAACGTTCATTACTGGAAGCGAAAAATAGCTAAATGCTTCTTTCACTTGTACTCGCAAAATGAACTCTCTACCTTTAGATATGAGCGTACCGTAATCAAATTAGCTAAAATCTTTCCACTTTAAGATTGTGAGCTGTATCATAATCCTATTAGGTAGATTTACGATGGAATGGTTTTCTGATCCTAGCTTTCTTGTAATAACATCACGTCGTGCTCTGTATTCGGCAACAATTAAACGGTAAGAAACAGTAAGCTTAAGTTATGTGAGAAGTGGCATCAAAGATACGATGACTATAGTGGTCACCGATCACTGGATCGTCTACAAATCAGAGATATAATGTTGCGTCTACGGGCCATACATTACAATTTTCGGAAATTAGAAATAATGGTCCTTATGCTAGCCTTATAGATATAAAGTCGTCATATTCTGAACAAGAGGAATAACAAAATACTTCAAGTCACAAACGCAAATAATATAAATCCATGTGGTTATTGTATTTTGATAAATCCATGCATTATGTAAATTTTTCATTTCGCATAAGATAATAGGGCGTTGCTAATGACTTGAGAATGATTTTGAAAAGATGATTTGATCGGAATTATTGTTTAGGATTAAATATAATATCTCGTTCATCAATCAGGATTACGTCATTTACGTTCCGCTTCTATTTTTAGTATTTTGGCACTCCGTAATGCGGTAATCCGTTCCTTTTCAAACAAAGTTGAGTGGACAATAAGGGCTTTACCTGAAGTTTCATAAAAAGTGGAATACTTGGTGGTGGTATTTCATCAGTATATTATTACCTTTGCGCGCTCGAATTTATATAAACGCTAAAAATAACAGGAAAAATATAAAACCAACAAAATAGTTAATATGTTAATTTTGTTTTGGTAAACACTTAAGATTTGCTGCAATTACCGTTTTTAAACAACATCCCAAATATTGGAATCACCATTTAAAATAACTTTATGACGTACTAAATCAATTCTAACATTCACCTAATATTATGAAAAAATAAATTCGAACGAAATTTCGCAAATTTTCTCTGCAACACTATATGTTTCAAATCTGATCCGTAATTATCGAAGAATTTGGGTGAAATGATTAAACGAATTATCATCTAATATGCTAAATCATATTTAGCGACAAATAATTGCGGTTGATTGTGCGAACTTTATTTACTACGGCGTGAAATCGCGTCAAATACGCCCTATTAAGTCAAGCAAAACGCCTACGGTTGCGCCTCTGAGAAACAATGAAACAATGCTTTTTTTTGTTTTTCTGCAATGATGCTACTCCTTATTGTCGGCCTAATGATTTAAATGGTAAATGGGGCCTTGTGGTTCTGAAAAACGCTGATAATGAACATTCTATTTTTCGATTTTTACTGATTGAGGTATTACCTATTAAAAAACTGCGTAAGTATAGTTCTGTTATTGGTATTTTAATATGGCTCAACAGTACACATGGTGTTTACGAATAACCCGATGTAACTTGCGTACAAATGATTTTCAAACGTTACGAACGGTTAGCAACGCATCTTGGTTGTGATGTTGTTTCGCATGCACAATCAGACATGAATGACACCAATCAGCACAACATATTTGGCTTTGTACATTATGGATCTGAATGACTTATACTTGACTTTTATCCCAAAGTCAGTCTTTTTAGCCTTTATATTAGGAATATTTTAATTTGACAAAACCACTCAGCTTATATGATTCGTATTTCACTGACGTATTTGGTTGAGTTTTCGTTTGTTTATTATGCAGGGATATATTTGGAGGTATGAATACAATATTCCTTATATAATGAAGTTTTCTTTATAGAAATGAATTAATTGGCGTACGTTAAAAAGCTTGAATAGGCTACAACAATATTTTGTATTTGCACAAATACACGAATCTATAATATACCGATCCTCTGTATTAGTGACGTTATCAAAACTTCTTCAGAAAATGCACGTATCAGCTATGGTTCAATTGCTTGACCGTATTTGTAACAGAATATATTATTATTAATAACTTTGCAGAATCATAAGTTTTATATGATTGATTGTACGTAGCTATAGTCTCACAGACAGGATATTTATTTTCATGATATTTATCTCTTTAAAACAAGATCCTTTCATAAACTAAAAATTTTCGTCCAAATGCAAATTTATTTGTTCAAGCATGATGAACATTTCTCATAGACAGTTCTGTTAGCTACAGTTTGTGCTATCATTATAACAGCGCAAACAAGTGATACTCAGATTTTCGATGTATGATTGTCTATATATAATGGAGCTCTATTTTCCGACCTTGTGCAAAATATATCTACATTTCATTCACGACATAGTTCAGGACTTTTTTCACCTGATTTGCATCAAACATGCTGAATAACAATAACGGCGTAGGGACGTTACTGTAGTCTATATTATATAATTTCGCATGGAATGGAATATTTATTTAATAGTTTCGGCGTTTTTAAGTTTTACTATATAGTGTGTGGTATTGGACAGCAAATTCAACAAACTGGGTGGAAATTACTAATAAATACAAATACACATGTGTTTTGTTAAATTATGATTTGACTCACAAATAACAAATCAATTAAAAGTTGTTATCATTACTTTTCATTTTTATATAGGGACCAGTACAGCAGGCGATACATTACGTTACGTCAAAGATCACGTGATCAGCCACGCTAGAAAAGGCGCAGCAGTTATGCTTATTGTGTTGAGTGACGGAATTATTAGAAAACACAAAGACGTAAGCTTAGTCATTACTTTAATACAAATAATTTTATTTATTATTTGACTGCAAGATATCATAGAATTTAACACATTCTTTATCATTTACACTTTTTAAATTTTCAATTCTAAATATTTCATCTTTCAATTTTAGAACGCTATTGCGTAATTACCCACAAATCGTATTTCAAAATACTATTTTTGGACACGAAATGGACTTAATGATCTTTTTGTTATTATGTTGTTGTTAGTATTCTTCTTCTTGGTACTTTTGTTGTTGTCAAAAATCGCATTTTTATTTAGCTACTAGACCAATTGCTTTGACATTTTGATTGTTATTGACGATTGTTATTGTCGCTAGAAGACTATTACTTTTATTTATTTCAAACATTTCCCGGGGCTCTATGGTATTCGTTTTTCACTTTGAAGATGATGACGTCATCAAATTTGAAAATTGTGCACCATGTGTCGTTTCAGCGATCGTATTTTAGCGATCTCGTGGTTAGCGAGGTTGGGAAGGGTGACTACCGGTACTGGTAAAAAAAAACAATTGACACCACTTCGCTTTATCTTTCGTGTTCAGATATTTGAGCATTGGCCTCCTGTTATGAAGATACTGATTTATGTATAAATATCCATAATATAATAAACTTTTATTTTGTCTTTTTGTTTCAATTAGATTTCTTATGCACATTTTGCACCTTGTTGTTTATTTACTCTACTCAGACCTTTTTAAAGAAATAAAAAATAAAACACTTTTACCAATAACTGTTGCAGGTTCGACGCGCCGCAGAGAAGCTCCATGATATGGGAGTAACAACATTTGCTGTCGGAGCTGGAGAAAGTATGGCTGATCATCGCAACGTTGAATATTTGAAAACGATCGCAAGTGACCCGATGCAAAGACACTTGTTTGTGGTTTGAAAAGATTTGTATATATTAATGTTATGTTTCATCCTAATGTTCGTTCGTTTATGAATTACAATTGACGAACACATTTTATTGACTGAAAAGCTTACAGTCACGAATTAAAAGTATTTTATTTCTATGCTTATACATATCCATTGTGTAACCTTTGAATTCATCAGAGGAGATTTGTTGAGCGAATTATTTTGTTAAGACAAAAATCCAACACGTCTAGTCACTTTGTTACAATACTTGCGACATTAAATTTACGAGAGAAAAGATTGGGTGTTTGACTCTAAAGGTTTGTTATTGAACACGAATAAAATGTCGTGACCTTAACAATTGTACCGGAAAAAATCTACGGAAATCTACCAGTGATTGTACATTTAATTTATAACTCGTTCCCTTCATTATTCTAATCTTTGGCCCATATTCACCGAGCCATATTTAGTACCATGCTTTAGAGTTGTAGTAAGAAATCTGAAGCACCCGATATACCTGTGACGCGCATGTGAGCGTGAAAGATATGTTTCCGCATGTTTTCATTTTATATAACAATTGTGACAAACCGGATATCCAGTTTTTAGTTGGTGTAAGTCGGCGTGAAAGTTGTGTTAAGTTATAAGCTCTTATTTCATCCCGTACGCAAAAAGATTATCGACATAGGAAAAACTTGGCGAGGATATACTTTTGATTATTATTCACTGATCATAGTTGTAGCAAGGATAATGTAGAAACTATGTTAAATCTCAAGTGTGTCCGAATGAATTTTTTACCCAAAAATCTAACGTTAATGACCTTTGACTCCTGGCGTTGCCGAGTGTTTTCGTAGCATTTCCGTTATGTTATTGTTCTTATACCACAGGTGCAAAATCTTCGCAACGTTGGCACGCTAGAACACTCGATTTTACAGGAAATCTGCAAGTCCACGATACAAGGTCAGTGTGGAAAAACGTACGAATTTATAGCAAAAACTTGACCAGTTTTGTGCGTTGTTTCGTTTCAAAATCCAGCTGTCTGTTTTTCAGTACAACCAAATGGCTTCGTTCTAGAAACAATATTGGCTTGAACAATATTGGAAAAATAATAAAACTTTAAAATTGTGGCTTGGGAAAAAATTGCATGTTCTATATGTTTTGTATCGCGTATCAAAACTGCAACCTAAATTAATTTAGTAGCGCCATTATGCAAGTCGCGTTAACTCTTGGTCACTCTACAATGGCAAGAAGTATATATTGTCGTGGCTCAATTGACTGGAACGTAACAAAAATATCGGGATCACACAAGTCGTTTTGCACAGCCATAAAACACAGTGTTACTCCACTTAGAAACAATTGATTTATTGTTCCCGAGTTTTTTGCACGTTGTGGGAATGTGAATTTTCCAGAAACTGCGAGTTAATGGAATTTGTCAAATCTGCAAAAAGAAAAACTATTTTTCCCTTTTAGCTCTTCATTGAAGAAAATATCAGTAGTTTAATCCAAAAATTAGCGGGATTATTGTCGTGTTACGATGAAAATTTCTCACAAAACCCCATTTTATATTTGATTTGAATCAATTCCATCTTATATTAATGTTTGGACTAAATACCGATTTGCTATCGATTAGACTACTTACTTTTCTCTATGCTTTTGCTATAGCGAATATACGGATGCTGAAATATTTTGAGGGACTCATATATAGATATATATATCTTCGACGTTTTGTCTGTCCAAAGTCAGACTTTCTCAAACAAACATAATCAACTTGTATTTATGTTACAGCAGCGGTTCCCAAACTATGGGTCGCGACCCACTGGTGGGCCGCAAAAGGAATCTTAGTGCCTTAGTGGGTCGTGAAAAAATGTAGAAAGCTTTGATTAGTTATACTGGTTATTAGGATCGGTGGCGACTCGAATACGTAAATCTTCAAAAAAAGAAAAAAAAGAAAATTGAATTTAAATTCTAATCTGTCAAAGTTGCCTTTTTACAAAGGAACTTTTTACATCATCTACACAAAGAATGACCATGTGGCTTTTTTATGCATAGCAGTTTTGTACACTGTACAGCACTTCTTACCGTATTTCCCCGAAATTTAGACAGGATTTAGATTTATTTTCTTTTGAAGAATAACACTATAGTTTTTTTTTTTGGAAGAGGTCTTTTGAGTTCATTTATCAAAAATAAAATTACATTGTAGAAAATCACGAGATTTTTTAATAAACAATAAATAAAAACCGACATCCATTGTTTTTCTTTGTATTTCCTATACAAAAATCAAGTTACAAATATCATAATTGTGATTGTGACATCACACAATCTTGAATAGTGGTGTGAAATCCACCTTACCTCAGGTCATTGAACCTTTCCGCTCCCACACATTTTAAATTTATTTTAAGAGTAGGGTTTAATTAAAATCATTTTTAAAATTCCAATTAGGTCTTATTTTCAGGCTAGGTCTTATTATTCGAGGAAACACTGTAGTTTTACGATGATTAGGCTGTGGTCTGTGTTATATCATAAAAAGTTAAATGGGTCGCCATAAGCTGTGGTAATAAATAGTGGGTTGCAACTCTAAAAAGTTTGGGAACCACTGTGTTACAGTATTATATTTGTGCTAATGTGCAACATATTGTTTGACTTTATTTCAGTTTTGATTTTTCCAATCATTTTACTTTTTAGTCGAATCCTATTTTGAATATTCCTTTTTGATTGAACGAATATTTCTCATTTAACGAAAAGTTGTTTCATTTTTGACAACGCTTGATTTCTTTTTTCACAGAATGTCCAACTACTCCACATGACCTTGCTTTTATTATAGATGGCTCGTCTACAATCGGATACGACAATTTTGAGAAAGTACATTTATTTTTGTTATAGATTTAATCGTTAATCACATTTGTGTCCCATTCCATTTTATTTTGTCATTTGGACAATATTGTCTTGTTTCAATTGCACTGACTAACTCAACTGTTATCTAAGTTTATTTCCATCTTTCCTAGGTAAAACAGTGGATGAAACGAATGGTCGAAGCTTTCCACGTCAGCCCGGAATCGACTCGTGTTGCAGTATTACAATATAGTACTGACGTTCAAGAAGAAATCAGGTATAATATTTACGATGTTTAATATTTTTATTTCATAATCATTGAAATCGACGCTTGATTTTCTTCTCGAGTCAAACTTTTCTAGACAATTCACATACGTATGCTTCGGATAACGTACAACGTGAAAGACGTGAAAACAAGGGTTTGGTGAAATATATACACTACTTTAAATGTCTGGTATTACATTGTACAATTTCTTTATTCTATTTCAGCTTTAACGATAATTTGACAAAAGCAGAAGTTCTAGATAAAATTGGACAAATGCAATTGTTAATCGGAGATACGCATACCGGACATGCGTTGGAATATTGTATGGTAAGCTATATAAGAAACAAGTAAACCTAAATTTGGCGTCAATATTATGTATATTTCATAATTTAACAACTTAATTTTAGTGCGTTTTGAACAGCTAGTTCGAAACAAATTGGGAAATGAACTCATAAAAGATTCAGTTTACCCCGTATAACATTACAAGGTCGTGAACCTGAATGGTATGCCCCATTTAGTTAACCAAACCACACGACTAATTAACGTCAGGGATGGATTATTTGTGGCCAAATACTTAGTAATTTTTCACATATTACACGCGAAGGCCTATTGGCCATGCATGAATAGAAACTCTTTGATTTTATGTGCCAAGCTCGATCAAGTTTGAAGTAAAAATGGACTTATTTGTCGTATTGGCTTATGCAAACAAATCCCATACTTTAGAAAAATTAATGGTATGATTTGGCCAACAAATAAACATGTTTTTCCAGAAAGTAATCTTTGCAGACACATACGGATCACGTAACAATGTGCCTGACGTCGTCATTGTAATGACTGATGGAAAAGCTCAAGATCATGAACACGTAGTTCACGCAGCGAAGCTTGTACATGACGTAAGTGTGCTTGAGTAGTGACCTACCAAGTAACTTTGAGTTTTACAGAAACTGGAAGTGTTTTTAAAGATTTTGTGAAAGATGAGAGAGAAAGGGAATGCCATGCAATATTGTAGATATATATATGTGTATGAACATATTGACAAAATTAGTAACAATTATATTCTGCTATAAATGAGACTTAAATGATGTTGTAATCTAATTTCTACATAAATTGAAATCAAGTAAAACGTTATCGTTACTTTAGCATTAGGTTACTTTAGTTTTTTTTAGCATGATTGAAACAATGGGAACAAATAAAAGTTACTGCACTACAAACATTTCGATGATAGAGTTTGCTAAGTTGACTCATTACCGATGACTTGTTTTGCAAACTTTTATTGCGTAATAAGCTTGAGAGCATCTGTGATCAATCAATGGTCCCAGTGAAAGCATCACAATATTGTTCATATTCACTTTGTTGGTTTCCGATTACGACAACTTTGCATTTTGTTTGTTTTTTTCTCCAAGTACACCTACATCTATTAGTTTCATAAATTTGAATTGAGGTTATCCGAATGTACTTTGATTCGTTTCTGAACGCCATAAATATATTACCTATTCAGTAATTCTTTTCATTCATTCGTTAAATAGATTTATTGGTATTGGATGAACTATTTCTTTTATCCAATTATAAATTGTGTATGTGTATGTATTGGGAACTATGGAAACCGATTTAATAAATAATTTATTCAACTATTTCAACGATAACATTTTTAGCGAATTTGCATTCAAGTATTTATTTATTTCAGGCTGGTATTGAAGTGTATGCTATGGGTATTGGAGATCACTACAGTCTCGAGGAAATAAAGGACATTGCTTCTGATCCTGATGAAAATCACGTGATATTAGCAAACGGATTTCAGCAAATTGACCTTCAAAGAATTGGATTAATCAAGGTCGTAGGCAAATTCGGATTTTTTCGTATCGATGATTGTGATCTTACAAAATATAATTTTTAATCCGTGTAAAATTATGATCTTGTGTGCAAATTTAATTGAGTAAAGCAATATTATGCGCAGGATAAATTGGAACACATGCATTAATTAATTAACTTTTATGTTTACAAAATATATTTTATATATTTCCGAGGACTGTTTTAAATCAAGAGAGTTACTAATTACTGGAATAGGTTGCAGCTACCTCTGAAGCGTTAAGAGATGCAGAGTGATTGATTAACCAAGCAATGCATTTTACAGAAAATTTGCGTTGAATCCGAGCCCGGTTGTCCGCATACTGCAGCGGAAATCGTATTCCTTGTCGATAATCAGATGATAAGAGAAGAAAATACATTTCAAAATGTAAAAACTTGGATTAAAAGCGTCGTGGATTCTTTAGAGGTGAAGTTTATGGATTTGACCCAACGATTTATTAAAGTTAATGTGTAATATGTGATAATTTCTCTTTACGACACCCTTATATAGACAGTCTTTGTCAACAGGTTGGACCACACTACAGCAGAATAAGTCTTGTTAGATACGGTAGAGTATCGGATGTATTGTTCAGATTGTCATCTCATTCTAGTACTTCACAAGTTATTAATGCAATATCGAGACAGTTCAACTACCAAACACAGTAAGTTTGATTCAATCCATGCTATTACTTCATTACATTAATTTAGGCTTTTATTTTCCTAACTTCAATCACATTTTAATGCTAAAACAACAAGTGAATGACAAAACTAGAAATCTTTCCATCAACTAGTTATCTCTTTTATGCTGAGAAATCGAACAATTAATGCATACGCTATGCACCTGATTTATCTTTTCTAATTTCAGAGATACGAATGAACTTTCAGCAACTGGAAGAGCAATCGATTATGCGAAATCAGTAATATTTGGTCAGGCACGGAAAAATGTTCCCAAATTTCTTGTTGTATTATCCGGAGGAAATTCTCAAGATGATTTTGTTCCAGCTGTAACACGAACGCGAAAAGTGAGAACATTAGCGTTGTAGCATAATCGATTAGTATTAGTATTTTTATCATAAATCATAATTATATTATACCGATTTATATGCTGTGTTTGCTTCTATAGAAAGTACCCAATTCAATATTTGCTACATTGGATTTAAACAAGTTTCAATTAATAGATAGTCGTGGGAAATTTTGAATTGGTCACCAATAACACACAGGACCTGTTCAATATGATTCTCTTATTATTCACATATGTTTTGCTTTGTTTTCTAAGCTTGGCCAGGTAACAATCATAAAGGAATTGCTTTATCAGGATGTACCACAATCGTGGGGTGTGATTTGGTTTTCTGATCAAATTTTGGACTCGTTGTAATCTCACCCGCACAAACGGTTTTCATAAAAAGAGCGGTGTCATGAAATTCCTCATTTTGTCTCTTTTTCTCGACAGTCTGGGATCGACATATTTGCTGTCGGAATTGGTGAAGTGAACCAAGATAACCTGCAGAGATTAGCGGTTTCCGAAAATCATGTTTTTCACGATGAAACTTTCGATGGAATTCGAGGAAAACTTGGGGGATTCATTTCAGCTGTATGTGCGGTGTCGGAACCAAGTACGACAATTAATAATAATATAATATACGGATGCTGATCAGCCAAGATCCCACGCTAACATTTTACATCATATAATAGTAAAAATTTAAAACTGTTAACAAACTGCAATGTAAGTTTTGTGTCGACATATATGCCATATGCTAATTCTAGACTGGATATTCTAATAAACAATATAAAATGTATATATATAATAATGATGGTCCAACAGTCGGGTATCGTTCAGTTCAGCCCAGTTCTCTTTTATTAGGGAAAATGCAGTAATCAGTATCTGATAACACGCAAAGTAGAAAGTATGGAGTTTCAACATTTCTATTCGTTATAAATTTTCACATATTCACACATGCATTGAAGGGTTTATAGCTGAACTAATATTTGAAATTCCAGTCGAAGGTGGTTCTATACTTTATTGTTGTGGGCGGTAACATAATTTCGGGGTATAACTTCCGTCATTGGGTGTTGTTAAATGCGGTCGCTCGCGTCACTTCACATAACTTTGAGTAATAATTGTTCACAAACAACGCGCCCAGACATTTTTTTATATTCTCAACACTTTTCCGATATTATGTTCTTTTTTCTACATCATCATAATTTACCACCCAGTTCACATAATGTGGTTCGCGTGGGGGTCATTACCCATTCACCCTGGCTAATCTCTATACTTGAACTTACTTAAAGTACTATTTCTTATTTCTGCATGACTGAAATATAACAGAGTGGAAAGAGCGTTTCTGTTTATTTCATAATCATGTTTGAATTAAAGTCAAACTGTAGCCAGATTGGGAAAAAAACGATACAAGAATTATTTGGGACTGACAATGACGAAACAAGTGCCATGTTGTTACTTTTATTTGGATTCTACGTAATCTTGGGTTATCATAAAACATTTATGATATTGAATTGCTTGGATAGATGATATTTATAGATTATAGGAACAATTTGTATCAAGTGTTCGTGTTAAAAATAAAATAGAAAAGTCCAAAACGAACTTGATGAGCTTCAATCGTAAAATATGCCCAATTGCCTTTTAAAAGTACACAGTATTATTGTCATATTTTCAAATTTTCATAGTATAGTATTATTGTCTTTTAACTTTTTATATTAAGCTAATGAATTCATTCAAATTTCAAGTTTATCACGCTTACCTGACGTATTTAATGAGATTTTGACCTATGTGGGATTTGGTAAATAAAAAAATTGTGAGTCAGTTTCAGAAAAGTTGTTGTTTGTTTTCAATAGTATACAATTTTATTCTTCATATGTACCTTGATAATAAGTTAATATATTTTAAGGTCAAGGGTAAGAGGTTAAAATAAAAAACTTCTTATTTGTAACAAAATATCATGTGAAGAATCAATATTATTCATCGACCGAATCGCATAACTATAGAAAGGCGAATGTTTGATATTGTTACGTGTTTTTTGGTGAGACAAATGTCTTTAGGCAACAAATTTATATTTTTTGTTCTATTGAAATATTTTATGAATTTTACGGAAGCGCTGTTTCCTTTTGGGTTAGGTACGCGAATTAGACACGTATGATATGAGTTGTATTTTGTAGTATCATATTGTGAATGGCCTACCCATCATAGCTTGGATATTTTTGGACAAAATTGAATACTGGTAATTCGTTCATATAAGTTTTTTGTATTTTCAGTATGCTCCGTTCAAGAAATTGATTTGCAATTTGTTGTTGATGCTTCAGATAACATAACACTAGAAGATTTTGAAAAAGTTAAACGATGGATTCGCAACGTTATTCGATCGTTTGACATAGGTTTTTACACAACGAGAATTGGTAAAGTAATTTTTCTCTCATTAAACAGTTTCCTAATTTTATGTTAGTTAGCCTCGACTAAATGAGAGTAAATTTCAGTAATATCTAAAGATATAATAATATTAGATTGCTGATCGTTGTGTCAGACATTTATGGAATACTAAATATTACAGTAACGCTTTGTTTTATTCATTTATAAAATATGCAGCACTGTAAAAAATAATAAATATATACCACATCTTGAATTTCGCAGGCTTTACGCAATATTCCACTTATATTCGGAACGAATTTGACATGAACACTTACAAAACAAGGCGAGAAATCGAGCATGCCCTATTTGAAATCACGCCTATTGGAGGGACAATGGTAAAAACTGATTCTGTTCTACAATACGTAATGAATCATAGCTTTACTGAAGCTGCTGGATCAAGGGATGGTGCTTCAAAGGTATGTGGCGCCTATGTGACAGCTTTGTGGTTATCGAGTTAGCCCAAGTACATGGGATTTCCTGTCACAACATTATACAACGAAAGTCTTGAATCCCCTTAATGGCATCCTCAACTTGAATGAGATTTGGCAAACCGTGTGATTTTCATTGCGCTCGATTGAAGGTAATAAGCAATTAAAAGTTAATATCTCTCAAGTAAATTCAATCATTTATGACGGTTTAATATGTTTCAGATATTATATTATAGCAAACGCATTATAGGCTACTGTTATAAAAGTCATATGAGTAAGATGAAACAGGATTTGAGCCTCCTTTTCACGCATCTTAACTACGAAACGTTCCCGTTTTATTAGTAACACTTATGCATGGAATCTGAGTATTAGTTATTTGTTAGTTAAAAGCTAGCTGTCTACAAACCATAACGTGATAATAAGGTTGTTTGCTAAACATCAAGTACGTCATATGGGTTACGGCATACCAGGTTCTAATCTCCAAATTATCAGTCATTACAAATACGCTTTCATCCCATATAATCCCTCTTCATGTTTATTCGTCGCTTTTCAGAATAATTTAAAAAAATCCGAGACCTAGTTCATTGAATAAAGAAAGACACCAATCTAAAACCGTTTGCTAAAAAAAAATCAGTGGAAATATCTAATAGCTGTTATTTTTTTTACAATTTTAGGTATTGGTGATTGTATCGGATGGAAACTCGGAAGATTCAATCGACGAAGAAATCAATAAAATTCACGAATCAGGAATTCGCGTTTTTGCAGTTGGTAAGTAAATTGAATTCACTGATTGTGAAATATCTGTGTGACAAACACTGTTAGCAAGCAATTGTCAGATCAGATATGTTCGTCGTTGAATAAAAAATTAAAAAATTGGAATTCTATGTCCAACTTAATTCAAATCAGAATTTTATTAATTTCAGCAACTTTTATTCTAGCGCACGATATTTGAAAAGCAGTGCATAGCGTTGATCTGTAGTTTTTAAATGAGCGTGCGTTTATTACATTAAACTTGAGCATGATAGATTTAAAAGTCTGAAGTTCTGGCTTTAGTCAGTCAGTAGATGGGAATTAAGCGCGTATTCATAATTGTTTACTCGGAATGTAGGCTGCTAATAAAAATCCTATGAACATAACGATGGCAAACGTTCACTTATTTATTATACAACATTTTTGGGACACCGCCGCGTGTGCGTGTTGCATAGCAATCAATCAATCACAAACCATTTTCAAGAATATAGTTACTCAATATTCTGTTGATAAGGCCCAGCTCTACAGCATGAATAAAGCAAATTGTTTTAAGCAAAACGAAATGCTCATCCTACTCACTTTTTTTAATTTTTTGTCTGAAAGGATTTGGAATCAATGCTTTGGAAGTATGCTCCTAATTTCAATAAACTCAGCGGACCATCAAACCAAACCATCCCCATACGTAATTGGATTAAATGAGTTATTTTCATCCAGCCTCTTATTCTAAAAAATGACCTTACTTTAACATAACAGGGGCCGGAAAACAGACGGATCGGGCATTCCTTGAAAACCTAGCAACCGAACCCGTTGTCACACATGTTACTGAGTCGTCGAGTTATGACGCTATTAACACGGTTCGTCAGCAGGTTGTCGGAGAGATTTGCAGAGAAACAAAATCTGGTTTGTTGCTCGGCAATTTATTTTTCATTGTTAGAATATTTCTTTTTGTTTATTCTCACGCTAAGTTTATGCCTAAGAGCATAAGTTTGATTTATTTACCATAATGTGATTATGCAATTTGTTTTTCGATCTTTCGGACTATCAAAATAATCCTTGAAACGAGCGCTAAAACGTTGCAGATGTTATTAAAACAAAACTATTTCTTTTTTTTTAAATTATTTTCCTCGGCTAAAGATGACACACCATATCACTTGAAATTCCCCCTTTTCGGGTGATTCGCAATGAAAATTTGACTCTGTGCTTACTGGGCACCATAACAACAAAAGTAATAATATTTTCCCCAACTTCTTAGAATGTCCAGAAGCGGAAATGGATTTAATATTTCTTGTGGATGGTTCAACGACTACTGAACCAGAAAATTTTCAACTTGTGAAAGAATGGTTGATTTCGTTCGTGCAGCAGTTCGAAATCGGAGAGTACAACAGCAAAATCGGATTGGTGAGATAACCCGATGTTATATTAGTTGTGTAAAACCAAGTTTGAATCTGATTTGAAAAAGATTTCTTCCGAATTTATATGGCTCTTGCTTTTATTGGCTAATTTATAACAATTATGAGCAACACACTGTATTAATCTCATGAAAATTTCACATAGTGAAAGCACTTTACCTCTACATGATATGAGGCAACTTTAGTTTAGCGTCCTCATAGGTTTGGTTAGGGTCGCATGAAGTAATGCAAAAAAGTTTTATTCTATCGGTATACGTCAGTACTTTTCGCGAAGGGGCGCAACGACTGAAATGTAAAACTGTACAAATTTTTCTAAGAAGCCAACAAAAACGGATTAAAATCATTCGATTCACTGATGCAATTGAGTTGTGACTCTACCTGATTCTGTTACTACAGTTTGTTTAAACTGCTTTTGTAAACTATATGATTAGTTTTTTGAAAATTCAGATACAATACGCTGATCTATCTCGTCTTGATATCGATTTACGATATATATCGGATAAAGAAACGCTGGTCGATGCAATAGTCAATCTAAAACCTTTAACTGGAGAAAGTTTTACTGGATCTGCTCTGGAATACGTTCGGGAGCAAGGATTCTCCGACAAGAACGGAGAACGGAGAGATACTCCTAAGGTTGAAGTGCTCTTTTGAATATGCAACAACACTAGCATTTATGTTTGTTTCAATTTGAACTTTCTAATCACGAACCCCAGATTTTAGACGCAGTGCTCAATTTGTTGGGGCTATCATCCATTTCTTTTCATTAAAAAGATTAATAGAAAAACGTTCATACTTACTGGTGAACTCATAAATTCAATTTCATAATATATATAAACTTCTGAAGACCAGTTTCAGTCCAGTACTAAGAGATATTCCTATTTACCTAATCAGTGAAATTTTACACATTGGTAGGTTGTTATCGTATTAACGGATGGCGAATCAAGCGATTCAGTAGAAATACCTGCTAAGGTTCTACACGACGATGGTAAGTTTTTATTTTAGTTTTTATGCTTATTGTTTTATGCAGACTTGTCCGGAAAATATAAACACATTTATGCAAAAATTTTATATTTACCACATCCTAAATATTATGGAGTAAAACATGAATCGATAAGGATTCAGTTATAAAACTTGGGAATGTCTGTTGCGATAATAATATTAGTATTCATTCATAGGTGTCATAGTGTATGCAGTTGGGGTACGAAAATCAGATGAAAACGAACTGAGATCAATTTCTTCATCAGAGGAGAACGTTTTCCATGTAAAAAATTATGATGCAATTTCCACCATACATAGCAGTCTTGTGCGTCGTGTGTGTCAGAAAGTTCAGATAGGTAAATATAGTATTCGACTATCGTCTTGTTGAAGTACATATGTTTGGTCTTTGAGTAGCTTTGATAGAAACGTCCCAGACGGTTTATTCCAAACGCTACCAACGCTCGAGGAATTGTATCATAGTGGATGGTGAGGCCGTGGGAGCAATCGTGCCGTTTCAAATTCAACGTTGGATTATTGTTTTTGTATTCATCAGTTTTGCTAAGATATGGTTGATTTATTCATCATAATAAATAATGATACGAATGTGAAATAATACCACACACACACATACAGATATAGATACCATTTGATCGATTCAGTGATTATGTATATTTCAATACTAATTTTCGAGCATATGTGTATCCAACTTGATTGCTTCATTACTAGAACTCATATACCTACGAAGTTTACTTGAACCAATTTATTTTTTCTTTTTTTGTGATCTTTATTACTCTAAATTCCATCAATGTGTTTTCAAAGATTGTCGTGAAAATGCAACTGATGTCGTATTGTTGATCGATGGATCATATTCAGTAGGACACAGTGATTGGGAAGTTGTGAAATCATTCATGATAAATATTACACAGAGGTTTGTTTATGCTTTTTTCGACGTTTTATATCGAACATTGATTCTATTATTGCTGAGAATTGAGATTTGAAAGCCTTAATCATTTGAGTTTCGCCATCTTATCACTTTATTCGGGCAGATTCGAAATTGGGCCCAATGCAGTTCAGGTTGGAGTCGTTCAATACGCCTCTCAGCAGAGAATAGAATTTGCATTGAAGGACTATAATGACTCATCAGCGTTACATGGTGCTATTAGGAATTTAAAATGGATGATGGGTGATACGCATACAGCCGAAGCCCTCGGGTAAATTGGCTTATATATTCTGTACATCTGAATTTTTACATCTTACTGAAAAATATAGTTTGCTGGCGTGTAAGTTCACTTAACTTAATTCACTCAACAAAGCTTTATATATAAAACTCTCCACCACGTTGGGACATGTCAACTGCAAAGCACAAACTATGCTAATTTATGTTGAAAAGATCGACCGATATTCAACTTAATTTCAGCATAATAAAAGAAAATTAAAAAAAAATTCTGTCTTTAAAAGGTTTGCACGACAATATGCTCTCACTCCGGAAGCGGGCGCAAGAGGATCTAATGTGTCAAAGATGTTGATCATCGTTACAGATGGTGATCCACAAGACAGCAGAGAAGTCAATGAAGTAAGTCGGAGATACCGTGAAGTTTAAATGAAAAACATAAAATACATAAATAAAATATTTAAGTAGATGACATGTGTCGTACAAAATATGCTTTATTTATTCTCATTAATTTTCATCACCAAATTGGGCGTGTTTAAAATCATGAATCGGCCTCTCTGATCATTTCATAAATATAAATTTATATTTAATTTCAGGCTGCAGCTGCGATCAGAGCAGCGGGATGGCGTGTGTTTGCTATAGGAGTAGGCCAGGCTACCTTATCGGAACTTCACATTCTGGCCTCAAAACCGGTTTTAGATCACGTGTTTCACGCAGGTGAATTTTTTGTGCATGGTATAAATGAGTCTACAAAATCAAACAATATTATAATTACATAATAAGCTTCAATACGATTTTTATCTTCTTTACTGCAGATGACTTCGAATCGACACGAAATTTGAAAGGTCGTCTGTTTCGCATGATATGCACCGAACGCTTGGTCGAGATAGAAAAGGGTATTAGTTCGGAGAGGAAAGGCATGGCTTTGGAAACGGATGTCCCTGATATTCATTTTGATGTCTTCTCAGATGCCGAAAATAGTACTGCTGTCTCAAACAACGACAACTCTGCCGCTAATGTTGACGTCACTAGTGATCAGGGTTCGGACGGAGAAGAAGGACTGGATACTCATAGATCTGTAGAATTCGATATTCTTGGTGATGACCACAGAACTGCTAAACTTAGAGACAGTAAGTAAGCTGTTTCATTTTGGTATATAGAGGTTTGTACGGGCAAACGTTAAGCACGTCTGCGTCACTCTTATAAGTTAGAGTTAACAAAGAATGTCAGCTAGACAATTTTATTTGTGATAAATTTATAGGTTATCTAAACTGATCTATTCTCTCTAAAACAAACTCAATATGCATTGTTGCAAAAAGTTACAGTTACAGCCATTCTGTCATTAAAGAAAAGATATAATTCGTATTTGTAATAATATCTTATGATATGCATAAAATATGGAACCGTAGGAAGCAATTCAATTAAGTGAATGAATATAGGTGAAAAAACGCGATTAGTGTTTTATAAAGATGAAAATTGATCGAAAGTACCTAAAGGTTGAATTTTAGTTCAGTTATTTTTCATACACAGTTTGTGTTGTTATAATATATAATCGACGACACCTCGAGCCAAGTTGTCGTCACGAATTGCTGAGACCAAGGATCCTATTCACCCCAATAATCATTGTACAATATTCAAACCTACATACCACTTAATCGCTATGGCTGGGTGACAATTAAAGTCATGACGTCAAATTAAATATGGCGTATAGCATATGAAATTTACTAAGGCTACAAGTATACGGATTAGAAATTGTTGCCAACTTTCCTATCTTCTGTGATTTGCCAAACATAATTTTCATTATTATTTATAAAATGCCTGTGGCAAGAAACGGTCGGTTTTATGGTAGTGCCCCAGGCAATTCCATCTCAACTACAATTGCGTCCATAAATATTGTATTTATTCGGGATGGGAAGATAAGGTAATTTGATGAGCTTTTTATATATATGGAAAATATCTATGGAACTAGACTGAGCAGTTTTTAAAAAATCTTCGTTTTCAGCTTTTTTTTTCAACTGTATTTTGATTAAGAATATGAAAGCAAATTCTTTCAAGTTTACAATATATTATGTAAACTGAGTGTTAGGCAGATATGGGGTTAGTTGAGCTGATATACCTTCAATATGTTATATTTTTCAGAATATTGTAGAAATTGACTTTTGTAATAGAGAAAATGTCTCAAATTGTGGTGAACCCAAGAAATGGTCTAGCAGATGAACAAGTTACCATAAAATTTACGAATTTACGTAAAAGTCAAAAGATCACAATACAATCTTGCCAAACAAGTGATAGTGGAGCGGAATTTCATTCATATGCATATTTCGAAGCTGACGATAACGGAGAAGTCGATTTTCAAACCGCCTCTTCCCACGGAGGTTATTTCCATGGAATAGATCCCATAGGCTTGTTTTGGTCTATGAAAAAAATACCAATTTCAAAGAAAAGTTATTCTTCGCTGAATAAAATGAATGTGGAGAGGCCAAGTGTGGTGCTGCTTAACTTGTATGATGGACATGTTAACATTGACGCGAGTCTTGCTACAGGAAATTTATATCCTCTGAGTTTAGTTTCGACTACATTCGAACGGAGGTTTTTGGATTCAAAAATCGATCGTGTTCTTGTACAAACGGGTGATCTCAGAGGAGTTATGTTCGTCCCACGTAGCAAAAATCGTTTTTTAGGAGTAATCGATATTAATGGAGCAGTTGGTGGTTCTCTTGAATCCCGCGGGGCATTATTGGCAAATCACGGATTTGTTGTGATGTGTCTTAGTCTTTTTGGAGCAAATGATCAACCAAAAACAATTTCATTTATAGATTTGGAATACATAGAAAGGGGGATCAATTTTCTACTTAGTCACAATAATGTGCAGAAAGATGGTGTGGCCCTCGTTGGAATGTCTCTCGGAGGAACCGCTTCAATGGCTGCAGCAGGATGCTTGGAAAATATAAAATGTATTGTGAACATCGTAGGACCTATCGTTGCTAACTTAGGATTCCATTACAGATATAAAGGTCGGCAATGGAAAGCAGTTGAAGTGAACAGGAATCTTGCCATAGATGTTGATGGTGCGCATATTTTGGAGAAAGTGGTTCAAATCCCAAAATTGAAAGATTTATTTAATCACATTCCGAATTTTAGCAAATCCAAAGCGCCAATGCTTTTCATATATGGATCTGAGGATTCATTTATGGACTGGCGATCTTATGTGTTGCTGATTAATGAAATTTTCACCGAGTCAAAAAAGACAAACTATAAAATAAACATATACAAAGGAACAGGACATCTCTTGTTGCCTCCGGTCGCGCCACTTGTGAAGGAATCCTTCTATGACTCCAAAAATGTGGCGCTTTACGGAGGTTCGCCCAAATCACATTACGAAGGACAAATAAATGCTTGGATTGATATCATAGAATTTTTGAAACAAAACAATACGCCTTTGTCAAATCTTTGAACTTTATTGTGTGAGACGTTCAACCTAATTTGTTGATATTCTATCTTGATACATCTATTTGATGATGCGTCTTGAAAAGCGTCTTGATGAAAAACAACCACTTTTCAGATTATTTCATGCATGCCTCTACTTAAAGAAAAAGTTTGCGTTACCCTAGGTTTGAGCTGGCATTATACTGATTATTTATAATAAACTAGACACAACAGACAACACACTGGGTGCATTGTTTAGCTATTAGAATAGCGCCTGTTCGGATCATACGAGGAGAATATCGTGAGTAATTATTATTCAGTATAATTGCATAAAAATAAATATAATTGCTTTTACTCCGCGTCATTGGGAGAGAGAGGGAAGCCTGGGGCCATTTCAAAAATAGCTCGAGGATGATTAAATAAAGGAACGATTTGTGGACACGCAGAACTTCTGCTCAAACGAAGTTTCGTCAAACGTATGTCTTCATCCTAGTTCAATATGGAAAAGAAGCAGCAAATTATAATTAACCCGGAATGCTCATGTGTAGGTGAACCAGTTTCTATAAGAGTTATTAACCTCAAGCAGAAGCAGAAAATCACGATGCAATTGTACCAGGCCAGCAAAAAAGATGTTGATTTCCACGCTTACGCTCATTACGAGGCTGACGAAAAAGGGGAAGTAAATCTCACAATTACGCCTTCAACAGGGGGTTACTTTACTGGCGTGGCACCAATGGGACTTTTCTGGGCGTTGGAGAGAATTCGTGTGCACAAGAAAGACTTTTCAGTGTTTGTGAGATTCAATATAACTGATCCAAGCGATGTGTTGATAAACGTTTATGACGACCATGTTGAACTCAACAAGAGAGCAACTGATGCTACTCACAAAGACTGTTCCTTGTTAGCATGTGCTAAACTGAAGCGACTTTATATAAACTGTACCACTAGATCGAAATTGTGAATAAATGTGAACCAAAGCAAGTTTGCTATTTTGATGCAACTCTTTAATAACTTATATTACTAGAGACTCACATTATTATAACGATTACTGTCGTTGAATAGTGCTTTTATCTGCGTCATATCTTTACGAGTTCTTCCGTGTAATACGTTCTGGGTAGGCAAATGTTATTATGGCTGATATGTTGTCCGTTTTAGAACGTGGCGCAAATAACGGATTTTGCGATGGAAGCTGTAACGACTTATATTACAATTTGTGTTATATGTACTATTAACTAACTGAATATACAATATAGTATAAATTCCTAATCTGAACTCCAATAATATAAGGGAAAAATATAGATTACGTGTTCGAACTGGAATTGCTGTTAATTTGATATAACAGTAAAAACCATAAGAATATCTCTATAATGTTTTATTATCATCATGAAATAATATCTACAATGCAATTAATGTTACATAAACAGAATACATTGAACAGACTTACGTCTACAGACCTAACACTAACATGACTTAATCTGCCCATCTGATTGTTGTTGATAGAAAGATAAGGGTATAATGATAACTCATTGTTTTTGGAATTGTTTTTTTCAAGTGACCCCAACATCTATTCCTACTCGATTGATTGTATCTATCACTTATTCATCCTTCTTTAGGCAAAAAACAACAACATTCGTTATACTGAACATGGTTTGCTCAAGTCAAATTATTGCGACTAAAAAAAATTAGGTCTTTTCAGTCATTTGGGCCTGTTGTATAAGTGTGAATTCGAGTGTGTGCCATTCGAGATAACTAGGACCCCAAATAGCATTCCAAAAATTTTAGAATATGACAGAAGCATTCGTTCTAAAAAAGAAAGTCCGTCTTGATAACGTTTTCATTTCTTGGTGATCCTGACAAATCTGGCGAATTTACCTTTTTCGAGGCGCAAAGGACTAAAAAGAACTGATTGTTACAGCGGTAAATGCGACATTAAATGGGACCCAACAACTCGTTCTAGCCAAATATTGATGTCAATGCTGCATTTAAAATTTCCCTTCTTGACACACGGCATATCGCGGCACAATTGGATTATAAACGTCCTTACCACTGACAAAACAATGAGTGATGAATGGGTCACTCACTATATTTTCCCTCATTCACGAAATTGACGTGAACTACAGTTGGAAATCTTAGGAAAAAACTTTGATTTGTATATTTTTAAGTCCTTCTTGTTGCCAAAAAGTTATTCAACACGTGTTTGAGTTGATTTATTCAAAATTTCTTACATAGAATACAAGAAATACATCCTTGGATATTAATACCACTAAAATATATCCCCGGACTATATTATAATAAAAGCTTTATGCTGTTTTATATTACATTTTTCCACAAAAACCCGATTTTGGGAAATCTTCTCCATTTTCACGAAACCAAAATTTAAAAAGAAATAATGTGATTTTATTGAAGTATATACATATCAAAAGCTAACAGGAAATCTATGTAAAAAACTGGGTCTTTTGTTGCACAGTGTAAAACTCAAATGCTATGTTCTGGATGGAGTTTAACATTTCGACTCCAATTATTATTTGAAATATTTTTAATCGGTCTTTTCAAATGATCAATTAGATTCCACTTACTATTGTTCCACACTAGCAGATATCGCAATTTAATGACAGTTGAGTTTCATTCAAGCCTTTTCTATATAGAAATCTTCGATGTTTATCCAGTGAATGAAACGGGACGTGTTGGTCTTGTGGATCCTGCATTAGATAAACGTTTGAAACACTCACCAAAGGAAAATCGAAGTATAGGACCGGGATCACTACAAGACAATGGTGTGTACTATAAATTTCTGAAGTAGCCTATTTTAGATAAAGTTACCGAGCACACAAGTCATTTTGGATGTCTTCGTAGTTAGCCCTGCTGATGTTGAATAATGGGCAAAACAAGCTTTCTACTGTGTGCCCAAACTACAACGTGACAACCACAAAATTTCTATTCCTTAATAAATACACACGGTTTCATTAGTATAATAAACAGCTATGAAATAGACTTATTTTGCATACTTTCACATTATTAGTATCTTCAAGATCTCCAGTTCCCTACGGCGTTCGTGGGAAGGATGTTGATGGAATAAACTGTCCAAAATTAAAACGCGAAAATAAGGACGTAACTACTGGTAAGATCATTTACTAGTGACTAAAACAAATTATTTGGTGTGGCTTATTTGGATCCCAACATGTTATATATATATGCAAATAGTATTCATGTTTGTTAATTCGATTCCAAATGCTTTTACTCATTATTGGTTAACTTCATATGTTCTTCTCCCAGTTTATTCTCCAGACTACGTTATTGTGTTCGAATTTTTGGTGAATGATTGACTTTCTTTATCTTTTGGTATGATTCTCGTCATATTCACATAATCTCAAGAATGAACTGTCATGTTGTAATAGTGTAATAAATTTTGGGTACTCCCGAAGTATGCGCACCAAGATGTCGCATAACCTGAACCCTAACCTGGTACACAACCTGAGTTCAGGTTGTGCGTCATCTTGGTGCGCATACTTCAGGAGGTCCAAATTTTGTTTGAATGCCATAAAAAGTATTTATATATACCTTTTAATTCCACAACTTGATAGAAATTGGAAACAAAAATGAACTCGAATTGATGAAACGTGATTCTTTTTTAAATAAGCAAAATGCAATATTTCAACAACATTCAAATTTTTCTGAGTTGAACCTTCTCGATTTCAAACGTACGATTACGTACAAATTCAGTATAATAAATGGAATAAAATTTATTTGTATTTTATGTTACGTGATTTGTGCTTTAAGGTTGGAATTTATTACGTGTGGTTGGAATCATACCTCATAAAAGAAGCTCAGAAAAAGTCTCTATCAAACCAAAACGCAGCACATTGTTGAACAGATTTGTTGAAATTCCATCTCGACTTCGAGCCGTTAGAATAAAACCCGGAAGCAGCTTAAACCACACTTCATTCCGTGTAACTTCAAAAGTTGCTCTAATAGGGCCATTAAGGTATACTCGATTATATGGTGGTGAAATTCGGTTTTCCGCTCAGTGAATGGTCAATGTCGGATCTGGAAATAGTTTTGTGAGATTACTTATCCATATCAGATGTATGGGCTTGATGGTGGAGGAAGACGTAACCGACCACCGGTTGCGCGAATCAGGCTACAATAGTGAGGAGTTCAGTAATCTTCTCGTAAAAGTTTATGCCTACGAAGTTCAAACACGAGGCAATCAGAAATGTCATGCGTGTTTCGCCGACATTTGAACTGAGATTTAAAAAAAAAAACTGAAGGTCATGAAACCTAGAATAATTTAAACTCGACTTAGAAATCCCATGACTCCAAATTTGACATTTGCTTGGACTATAACTTGAGTCGAGATTCGGATGGATCGTGGCTGGACTTGACTCGCTCATTACTCCACGTATAGGGACATCTATCAACACTGTTTGATACCACCACTTCTGGATAGTTTTGCGATAATATTGGAACAGTACATGCATCTGAAAAAAAAACAGACAATCCAGAATGTTAGCAAATGACTACCATTCAATACTTCACCGCAAATTATGTTTCTTTTTTGTCAAATTTTGTCAGCATCTCCTTTTTTGTACAGCCAAGGGATATCTAACTTATTTGACGAATCCTGGAGAATATCATCGGTGTTCAGAATGCACGGCGCAACAACCAAAATGCAATGGACTTTAATCAACATAACAGATGATAGTGGAGCAACAATATTTTCTGTCGCATTAAATGTGTGTGTTATGAAATAATGAAATTTCGTTTGTTCGACAAGTTCAATATAATACGCTGGATCCAATTAAATATTATGAGTCTATTTTTCATTCAGGGAGATGATCATTCATTAAAATTACGTTTCAACGACGGGGATGATGTTCAGCACATAGAAATAAAGGGTGGTGGAGCAAAGAAATTGTTCGATAAAAATTTTCATAAAATAGAAATTTCTTCAAATAATGATTCCCAGGTAAGTGGAACGCTTTTCTGTCAACATTTTAATTCGATTTATTTTTTTCGGGGTTGGTTTTCTGGATTTCAATCGTTTCCGTTTTGTACGTCTGGATAACCCTATTTACGGTTTAGTGACGTGTGCTAATAAGACAATGTGAAATGCTAATGAAACATGCATTGGCAAATCTAAATCATACTAAATATTTAATAATTGGCATTTTCAAATAACAAAACCAATACTAATCATAAAACTTGGTGCATCGTTATATTGTAGCTTTCACCACTTTATTACGTAAAATACTTTATAGACAAAGAGCTTGCTAGTTCTTTCAGTGACAAAATACCTTTTTTGTAGCAATATTTTCGTAATGAACCTTCGAACAAGAACTTGGGCTACATGTAATTTGTGCCCGTCTTGCTGTTCATGGGCAAGGTTGTATTAAAGGGGGCAAATCTTATATCGAACCTTTATCATTCCTATATTAAAGCGAGTTCTATGATTTTGTATCAGTGATGTTTTAATCTGTGCGATTGCGATGTTAAAATGCTCGCTTCCTAATATTTGATCTGCATGGCCTATTTTGTACAGGTTTCTGTGAAAGTCGATTGCATTACTATCGGGAGAAACCTTTTTCAACCATTTTCTGTGACGTCATCCTTGTATGTCGGTACTCTTGTGTCATCGGAATATCGAGAAGACGATCACGTAATCGTTGACGTGCAAGAAGCAGTTCTTGAATGCAATTCTCTTGTAGAAGAACAGTGCTGCGAACTAAAAGGAGCGGCGGTAAATATTGGACTTACAACAAATATTGCATATACCACTTTCGGATACCAAATTACAAATCATAAAATTTGTTTATTGGTTTAATATTCTAGATCTTATTTTACAGTGTGATAGAAACGAGGACGCCAAATACAAAAAGAAGCACGAAGATGAAACACATGAATGTGACTGCCCACCCGGTCCACGAGGACCGCCGGTAAGATCTCATATTTGAGACTGGTATGTAAGAGAAGTGTTTGATGATAGCGCTCGTATTCATAAGTTTTATGCTTTGCAATTTTTGCTATGAGTTGATACAGATTTTAAGAGCAAAGCGAGTTATTGGAGGTCTAGGTGCTGCATTTTTGTAATAGTATTATAAACAGCGCAAAGCCTACTTCAAAGCCTATATTTTATTACGATTAGTAAAATTAGCGTTCCGATTTTCGGAAGTAGTATTCAAATCCGGATACTCAATTAATATTTTTTAAATTTAACACATCATTCTAATTTAGGGCCCATCCTCACAGGTTTTGCGTCGAGATGAAGTTGCCAAGGTTGGGCCTCGTGGACCACCAGGAAAGTGTCTCGCGAAGGTAATATAATTCATACTTAGAACAGTAATACTAATATATATAGGCAGGTGGCATCGGTCTTGTGCTTGGATCAATTTAATATGCCTATAGTCTCTCCTTTGCAGGAAAGAAGTTATGAAAAGAAGGCAAAAAATTAATATTAGTAGGTTTTACTGCGTTTGGTAACGTATATATATTGTATCTAAACAACGTTCGAAACAAAAATTTTATTTGTCGATTCAAAAATCAGATTTCAGATGACCAAATGACATCGTAGCTTTAAAAAGTCATTAATTTGAGTAATGTGTTATATTTATTTGCAGTGTTCAACTATTTCAAAATCAACAGTCAAGCATATAGCTAAAAAAGTTGCAACGGATTTAATTGAAAGTATGAATATTTTTATTTATAAAATATATTTTCAATCGATATCTTCAAAAGAAAAGTATTTTGTTTGCTTCTTATTACGATTAAACAATAAATCAATAGTCGGAATAGTTGGTCTTGATTTTCCTGACAAGGGTGTATTTTTCTTGTTCTGTTCCACTACCGTGTCACGTAGTTACAAATCTCTCCGTTATGCATAACTATAAAAACTAAGAAGATTTGAAAGTATTTGGCTATTTTCCTGAATGCAACGGAAGTTACAATCAAAGAATATTGGAATCTCAGAGATCTTGTTACTGGTATACAATCATAATACGATTTAAATCTCTGTTAAAGATCCATATCCAGTATATACATATATATTAGGATACTATATAATGGCAATGGCATCATTAGCATGAATCTGTTAGAAACCGACCGTTGCACAGGACAATTTCAATATTTCTGCATTAAGCAACTGGAGTTTTGCATCCAAAAAAGGTATTTGACAGTATAACCAATTTCCTTTTTTCGATAGATGAAATAAAGAAAATGTATGGAATTTTATTGGAAAGCATAAATGAAGACGGCCGTATGAACCCAAGCGTCATACAACGGGTTTTGAAAAAAGTGGAAAGGAAGACAAACGGGGAATTTCCAGACAAGGGTTAATATACTTTTTATATTATACTATTCAATATCCATAATTTTCCGCTTCAATTTTTTCACGTTAGCGGTTGTTTTATTTTCCTTTTTTAGTGAAAATTTATTTTCTTTATTTAGAAACAGAAACAAAATCAAACAACAAGATTCGAAGACGGAAGCAGCACGTTGTTTCAAAAAAAGATTGTGATGGTGCATCTTGTGATAGCATACCGGATGAAATTCTTGATGAAATCATCCTTTCCTAGAGTAAAGACAAGGACAGGCCAAAAATAACGCAACTTCAATTCGCTCGATATTTGCACTTCGGATGGACGAATTCCTCCAACATTTTAGTCCCACTTCACGCTACTGGAAGAGATTGCGCTTTGTTTCATGAGAAGGTGTTGATCGCAGTTAAGCTCGAGAAAACAATTTGTTTCTTTTACAGAATACCGATGCCATTTTTGCTCTCGTGTTTTAAATACCGTATTGCACCACCCGCTTGAACATATATAGTGGATAGGCGTTCCAGCAAAAGCAATATTTCGGAATACTAGAATTGAATGAAATGATAACGCCCTCTATTCCAAAGATGTCAAGTAATTGCAATTTGGATTTTTGCAGGGTATTCAAACTAAGTGCTATCATATAACTACGCCTGAGCCGGGAACGAAACAAAAGAAATACTCTGCATTTAATACCGTTTCATATGCCGCTACGTAGATTGAAGATGTAATTAGTTTATACTTGATATTTCCAATCTAAGTTCAGTTTGAATAGGCTACTTGCCGGACAGCCAGTCCCGAGATAATTACATTAATGCTTGTTTTCATTGGATTCGCTCCAGTTGTATATAGATTTTTTTCTCTGTGCGAGTCGTTTCATACAAAGTTCAGTCGGTATTCGATATTCTCATGTATATATATTTTATATAAAGTTGTTTGCCAGAGCTAATAATATTCTTTGAAAAACTGCGTATTACATTAAGGTTTCCAACCTTGCTGAAAGCGTATGAGAAATAAAACTTATTAAATTAAGATTTTATTGTAACCGTAGTGAAACGTGATCTACATCGCAGATCCCTTAGGGCTTTTATATACTCTTATAGTATGGAGATAAACATGTAATCACCCGGTACGCAGTCATAAGAGTGGCTCTGACCAAATTAACTCTCAACTATTCAGCAGACACTCAAATCGGCACTTTTCTCCGCCGATTTTCGGGAGGCTTGGTGGAAGAGTTCTGGCCACCTGTTCAGTAGAGTATTGTTTTTTTATTAATTTCAAAAACAGCCTATTTTAAAAACAAGGATGTATATTCTGTATTTTCGATTGAATAACCCCTTGCATCGCCGTGAAACTACGTCAAAATGCTTTTAATACGCTTTGAATGAAAAAGGCAAGAAAAATCATGAAACATAACTCAAGGGTCACTACTGCGATCCAAAAGCTGTTGGATAAGCGGCCCGCTCACCGACTAATCTCGGCTGAACAACTGCGATAATGCAATAATAGATAATACACTCAGATCGGCGCCAACTTATGAAGGTTCGAATCAGGGTCGGATTTAGATAACGATACACCCCAGGCTGTGATGTTAATTGTGAGGCCCCCTGTAACAATTTTGAGTTTATGTATTACGGCACAAGTACATTTCAAGTTTGCGGGAGTTACAAAATTTTAGCTACAGGCAAGATACATAAATATATAAATAAAAATTTTTTAGGGTTATACAAATTCATTTATTCGGCCCTATTTCAATTTTTCATTTATAAACGAAAAATTTAATCTAAACAAAAAATATGAGATCTATAAAGTTTTAACTTTTATTATTCGGTCGAATTGAACGAATTAAAGTAAATAAAAATTGAGCTCTTTTAGTTCCAATCTATTTAATAATTTTCTATTTAAATATTTTGAACAAAACAGGCAAAAAACTTGATTGGAAACAATTGTTTTAAAACAATTCTTTTTGAACAAATCCCTAATGCTCACAAATTTATTCAGTCATTGATTGCATGCACATGCCAAAACAAAAGAAAAAATACACGAGTTAAGTAATGAATAATAACAAAAAAAAATGTTTTGTTAATAATGTGCCGCGATTTTTTTAAATCTTCTATTTGAGGGTGGTCCAAGGTTGCAAGGCTGCAAAAACTTTTGAAGAAGTCTCGCAGACGCAATCGGAGGTATCCCAATACTGATTAAAATTTTGCGAGTTCACTTACATTAAATATAATAAATAATGAGAGTTTACCATAGGGTTGCCAACCGTCTTTTACTTCAAAGGACAATCCTTTAATTGAGCTTTTCGGTCCTTGTCACTTTTATCATTTAGAAAAGATGCTAATTGTCCTTTATTCTTTCCAACGTCGTTTTGCCCGAGAGTTATAGTACTGTGTTTGATATTGCTCCGTTCTTAAAAAATCACCTTCAATCAATCAATCATCATTTATTCGTCAACACAATTTAAACATGGTACGATATATGAAAAAATATTACAAATACAAGTGGAAACTAACTTAAATTGTGTGACAGGAGTCGCGAGGGACCTCAAGAGGTCTTCAGGCAGCGACACCTACGTTTATGTATTTGCAAGCTTTCAATTATTATTTTTTATTTCGCTTTGGTCCGGCTCAAATAGCCAAGGAAATAACAGTTTATTAACATTTCGAATATTTTACATTAAATTTTCCAAAAATGGCAACACTCCAAGATTTGAGTAAATTCTAGTTCAGTAACTGAAAATTCTACGTTCGTTCTACGAAAATACACGTATATATGTGTTTATTTAATAAAGACTGGAAAAAAGACTATGATTGGTTGAGAGAAACTAGTAATCCACAGAAGGCAAAATGTATCACTTGTGAAAGTGTTTTTACTAATGAATACATGGGTGCTTTAGCAGTAGCACAATATGCAAAATCAGCATTATTCTTACCAATCTCGATGTGATGAAGTATTTTTTGGGTGTGATGTTCACCGACTTCTTGTAAATGTGAGTGCTGCTGAAGCTCAAGAGGTAACTAAAGATTTTAAATTATTTCTCAACTGTGCAATAACGTATTTTGAAAAAAGTTGATTTTGATGAAAATTCAACATTTGGAAATTTATCCTATTTGGATAATCTTTTTCCAAATTATTAGACACATGTAAAATTGTAGCGCAAATGAAGCTAAAGACAAATTTAATTTGAATATGGATAACCTATTTAATGAAGTAGCACTCATTCAAAAATATTTGGCACGATTCAAAGCACTAAAATGTTTACAGAATGCAAAACGTGAAGCAGTAAATTGCACTTTATCTTGAAAAGATTTTTTAATCTTAAGTGTGTTGATGTTTTTCAAAATAGTTTCATTTGCGCTCTCAATTCCCGGAACCTCAGCTTTATGGAATCGCATTTTTAGTGTAATGTTCATTTAAGGGCACAGGGAAAAAACATATGGCTCCATACAACTAATGAAGAGTGTATGCCTTTCAGTATACTTTAACTTGAAAAACAACGTGTCGTGAATTTTCGGAAAAAAATAAAACGTGATCCACCAATTGCTAGTCAGCATAGAGTTAGAAGATAATATAACTTTAACAACTATAAACTAATGCAACTGGAAAATTAGAGCTTGTTTGGGTCAATGTTAAATAACTATTGAATGAAAAACACATGAAGATTTTTTAAATATATATATATATATATCTTTTTAGCTTGTATATAATTTTTATTTCATTGTTTTATATTGTTCTTTCCTGCAAGTTACAAAATAAATGACGACGGTAATCTATGTCCGGGGCTCCCGAAGTATGCGAACAAAGATGGCGGACATCGGAATGTAATATGTGTACTAGGTTAGGGTTAGGCCATAATTTTAGGTATAAATACTACGGGAGGCTCTTGGCTAGTCTTCGAACTGATTAATAGGACTAAAATAAGGAAAATTGGAAAAAAAATTATCGCCTAACCCTAACCTGTTACCCATGTTACGTTCCGATGTCCGCCATCTTGGTTCGCATACTTCGGAGCACCCTATGTTCTTTATTGAAACTACTGTTACACGACCCATGCTTATAAAGAGAGGAGTTTCCTGACTAAAATAAATACATAAAGCTCAAGATGCGAAGCTGGCATGAAAAGCGCGACTCGTCTCACGTCGGCTGGGTTCTGCCCCTCCTTGTATCGATCACGGGACGTCATTCCAATATTGTCACTCTCTTGACGTTTAGCCTATACATACATCAAAATTCGAGATTTTAACAAACATCATTTCGACATCGGGATTTGGAAAGGAGTTTAAATCTCGGGATCCGGATCAATTTGTGCAGTCAAGTGTAGAAAACCCATGTCCACATAAGTGAGTGAACTCAAAGAAGATAATAATTTTAATTGCAGGGGCGTTAGGCTCACAACTAATCGTTTCTTTGCGATACATTCATGAATATATATATGATACCTAAACGGAATTTTTGTTTTGCACTCCTTTAAAAACTAATGCAAATAGTGCAGATATACTGTAAAACATTTTTGATACGGAAGGCTTAAATTGGGTCAAGTCTTTGTCGTATTTACGCTGTACAACCATTTTGCTGCTAATAGAATGAAAGCGAAACTAGACAGGTAGTCTGACGAGATCGCTTAAATGCGGCCACGGAACCACGCCACAGAGATGTTATCACACAGAAATTTAAAGTAAGTTCATTTCGATTTTCTGTTACAACAAAACAATGACGCACTACGTGGCAAAGCAAACAAACGGGAACTCAGGTAAGTGGGCAAAACCTAAAAAAGATTTAAAACGTGCTGATGCACGTGCCCAGATACCCCGAACAGCAAACAACACGTTGAAGAAAATTGAAAAAAAAAATACACTAAGGATAATTCGGGCGCAAATACTTCGGTGTGGATGTGGAGGTTGAACATAGACTGCAACTTGTACTACATCTATACAAGAAAATAACAGAGTGTGGAATACAACAAACAAACATGGAGTTTTTTCAAAATCCAGGTGCTTTGTGAACTTGCACTCTGCGACCCCCTAGAAATTTGCCTGCTACATCTTATCACTGCTTGGGAACAAATATAGATGTAAACAGCTGTTTCCGTTCATGAAATCAATCAGTTCTCAACAAACCAGATATTTCAGAAATAAACAATAACAGCAAATAATAAACAGGCCTACAGCCACAGATAAGTTACCGTAACACACACGATTCACGGCGAATTGATAATCAAATACCGGTATTGTTTTGCCATCAGTGTCTTTATATCCGAGCATCGCGCTCTTGTTTTATCTACCCACGATATCGTTGATAATGGCTAATTGCTGACATATCCAATTGGATAACTTCATGATTTCAGAGTTCAAAGTGTTGATTCTTTATTATTAGGCAAGAGACAAAAACATAATACAAGCTTATTAATCTCCAAAATATGTAGATCAGAAAAAGCATCAACGCAAAACACCTAAACCGTTTGTATATTCACGAGATAGGTTGTAACAATTCCAGTAGCAATCGATGGATTAAAATTCCACAAAACACCGAGCAAATGACAAAGACATTAACGAACTATCAATATATTATAAAGGTGTTTGGCCTTGGTCAGTTGGTTCCAACCTTTTATGTTCAATTCCTCACTTTGCCTTTGTTGAAACTCTTTCTTTCCGCAGCGTGGATAAACTGTATACTTTGCTTGTGTTATGCGCAAAAAACGTGTTCATAAATACCGTTAAGGATTACAGTAATAATAAAAACTGAAGAATATCGGTAACACTACAACGAATACAAAGCAAAATTCATCCCCAAAAGAGTTCCAGTTGGGAAACGTTGGACTAAACATTCTATTGACAAACAATCACTGCTACCAAACACATTCTAATAACAAGATAAGAAAAACAGAGATGACAATTTGGCAATTCTACTAGTACGTTGCAACAAATCGATCACAGATTATGTAAACAATAAAATCATCAGATATTGTCTAAAGAAAAAAAAAATGGGAATAAATGTGCATTACGACTTCGCTCAAAGCGAGCATTTAATATTTGAAATAATATTGCACATGATCCTTTCAATAGTTCATAGAGTTGGGGTTTTGGGATGAATAAGAAAAACACTAGGTAAATGAGCATGGCAATAGTGCTGATTTGGTGATACTGACGGTTATTTTCAAAGGTAATCAATAAAATAATCATATATGGTCTCAAAAATCTAGAGTAAAAAATGTGCTATAGGACTTAGCTCTTAGCGAGCTAGTAACACACCCCATGAGGAATTTATTATTTATGGATCTGAATAATATTGCACATGGTCCTTTCAATCAAAAGTTCATAAGGTTGGGCTTCTGGAATATACAAAAAGAACACTTGGTGGATGAGCATTGCAATAATGCTAAAGTGGTGATACTGACGGTTACTTTTGAATTTGAAGTCAACCCTTTGCCAATATATGGTTTTCTGTTCAGAGCATAGTTGGCCATACCTACATTTTGGTAAGCAGATCTTTGCACCCCAAACATTTGGCCATAACCTCTCTTTAAAGTATTTTTGCTGGTTAATCGGTTGCTGACAATCTAAAAAGCAAACCGACTAAACTTATGATATTCATTCAATAAAGATGGTATAATCAACAAATTGAAGTTGTATGAAGATGTTCAATTCTCTATGATGCAAATTGGGTTATCAATTTCGAACCCTTTAAAATGTATCTCCCTCCACATACATCAAAATGTATGAATGAACTCTTTGTGTTAAACTAATTACTTTAAATGTGTGGCCCAAATTCGACAATACCGTCATGGAAAAATCATTAAAATCACTATTGGTCATTATCAATCAAAATCTTCACTATCAGCTATCCAAAATCATTAAAGTCACTATTGGTCATTATCAATCAAAATCTTTACTATTAACTATCCATTCATAAATTTGGCATAATCAGAATGTCAAATTAAAAGAGCATAAATGTAGATGTAAGCAAATTTAGGATTAATCATATTGTAAAAGAAAGTTTGTGGATGAGGACCCTCGTAAAGATGTTCAACTTACAGTCGATCTTCGATTTCTTCACTGAAAACTGGTTCCTCGTCTGTAGCTTGTCTTGATTTACAGCATAAATCATAGATGCCATGACTCAAGTATGTGATGGCAATGACACCGAAGTAACCACTGTATATAAGATTTAATCGAGAAAAAAACTTGAATGCATATAAATAAATCGTTACTCCCGAAGAAGAAGTTAGGGTTAGACCAGGGGTGACCAAGGCTTTCAGACCGGGGGCCAAAAATTTTGCCCATCTAGACTGGCGGGCCATGGAAGTATGAAGTTAAAGTTACATTTTATGGACAATATTTATAGTGTTGCAAAGGAAAACGATGAGCCCCGTGACAAAACTCAATTTGATCACAATCCCAACAAATTCCTTAATCTATTTTTTTGCTAAAACAGCAAAATTTGGTTTTAGTTTGGTTCTGACAGCATCAGGCGGGCCAGATTGAATTACCCAACGGGCCGGATTTGGCCCGCGGGCCATAGTTTGCCCATGTCTGGGTTAGGGCATAATTTCATTTCGATTCTCCTCATTTTAGCTTTATTACGAGTTCGGGGACTGTCTGTGTTAGCCAAGTAAATATCCCCCCCCCCCCGCCCATAGGTTTCAGTTCCTTTACACAACTTGGTGTAAAATGGGCGAACAAATATTGAATAAGATTGTCATAAAGCTTACATTAAAATGCATCTAAACAGCACCTCAACTATTTTACATGAAACGAGCCATAAAAACTTCATTTTATATATGAAGAAAACTGGCTCACATTATGACTTCATCCAACTAAATTATCAGCCAACTAAACATTCTGTTATATTGATGTCTGTCTATGTATACAGTATATTATAAAGATATATGAAAGTTCAACAACAAAACTTACCTATAAATAACAAATTGAGTTTTGGCATCCAGTCCCAATACAGCATCGTCAACAATTATCAAGGTCAACAATGAGTTTAACACGACTGCAAAAAATGTATTCATTCCGAATACCAAGGCGAAGCGTTCAGTGGATAATCCGACAGCAATTTGAAATCTAAAGTAATTTAAAAAATCGGTAACTTAATATTATGGAAGAGATATTCTGGAAGACAACGGCTATCTGAACCTCTAAAATTTGAAGGACTTAGACTTTAAAATAAAAAATATTCGTGTATAAATCACCGCCATCACGCTTTTGTGAAAGGTATACGTCAGCCAATGGGATCGAGGTCTTTTATGAGCTGATGTTATTGAATTGCGTCTGAAACATTCATGAAATGGTAAAATTCAACCAAATCTAAGAAATAATTTTTTTTAGTGGATAGTACATTTATCGAATCGGATAATTTTAATGAATGTGGAATATTCGGGTTTCATATACAGTCGGAAGGAAGCCAGTGCACTCAGGGTCGACACTTACTTCCGCTGGAAATTACTGTTAAGCCAAAGAGATCGTTGACAGCGCAACAATTTTTCACTTTGACAGCGCAACGAATTTTCACTTTGCTTATCACATTATAATTGTTGATGTTTTTCGTCAGCGTTTCGTCATTACTTTGCAGGCATTTGATTATTATCTTCCCGCAGATCACTACTATCACTAATTCTTTCGCCATAGCGAACATCGGAATAACATTTTTTTTTATTTCTTGCAAAACTGTGCTGTTTAATCAGACAAACGCGCTCAAGTTCGTAAGAAATCATCGACAACAGGACTTTCCAGGAATAATTGGAGTATTCGTACTTTTGACAATAATTATGCGGGGCTAATTTATCTAAATTGATTGTTTTGGCAAGCTTGATGTGGTCATCAAATACGAGTAAATACTAAAACCGAAAAAGGTGTTATAAGTATTATCACCGTGACTTTTGTTTTAGGATTCCGCTACAGATAAAAAATTTTGGATATCGTGAATCATCAAAATTTAACAATTAAATTTCTGGGAGCTACGTCACAATTACCAATGTTGAAATAATTATTTATGCCCACATTGTTTTCAACTAGTCACGTCACTGCGATCAGGTTTCGAACAATAGTAATTTTTTTACATGAACGCCGAAAAATAAAACTAATTTCATCTCGAATTGAAGAACACTTTCTTTTTTGATCATATCCCGCTTTTGAGATATGAAAGAATATTTACAAATGTTAATTTCTAATGATACTGCTAATTTATTTCCATTTCAGACACAAGTACTGCTATGATTTTCAATAACCAGCAGTCAAGAGCCGACATTAAACAAATTATTTTTTTAGGTAACGCACACACACACCAGCACGGCCACAGGTTGTGCACCCCTGCCCGAGAGTCATAATCTGCGCCAAATATACTAAATTGAGTGATGCAGATTCGCAGGATAGTACAAAATCCATTGCCAATCCAGTACATGCTACTATTCGAATAGATTATTTGACCCTTCAAAATAATGCTAATTTTCCCGAAATTTGAGTAGAAAAAAATAACGGAAAGTGAAAATTTAAAATAATCTTCCATAAGTAAATCACCAATCACCATTCAAGTGTATTTCGGCAAACAGGTATTTGACGTATCTTGTGGTAATGCAACTAGAATTGACTTTTCAATATATATATATAAATATGAATGAACAAAATTGAATTTCTAATGAGCAAGCACATTAGTTCTATGAGCAATTGATCTTTAACACAATTGTATAAGTATGTCAAGTAGGCAAAAAAGATGACATCAGCAGAAAAAACAATAGAACTTGAAAATTGATTGCATCATCATTTGTTGATCACACAAATTGTTCAAGAAGTAAATAAGAACAATTATAAAAGTAATCTTGTGCGACTCACTAAGCTCAAAATAACAGGAAATGAGTAAATACCATGATGAACTAACAGCACCTAAATCAGTTCACTCTTTGGACTAAAAAAGATATTGTAGTAAATGAATGAATATATGAATAAAACATACACTGAATCATTCATACTTACTGAGAAATAGTGATGACAAAGTTGTAGAGTCCGATGAAAATAATATATGCAACATAGCAAATCCATATATCAGTTGTCATGTACATGATGAGGAGAAGACCAGACTTGATAACGGAACCCCACCCCAAGAACATCTCTCCCCATTTTTTCCAGTCAACCCTCATATAACCAACAGAAAAAGCAGCTCCAGCACCTAGAAATTACGATAATGTTAAAAATAGCGAAATGATAACAACAATGCCACATGCACTGAAATAATTTGCGAACCCCATAGTATATATACAATACAATCCCATAGTAATTTGCATGACAATTCTCTAAATTTACCCACCAAAATTTGACATAAATCTTATTCACTAAAAAGATACCTTGTGGGTAATCTGACAAAACTATGTCAATAATTGTTCTAGATCTCACAGTTATATCATATAGAACAGGTGTGGCCAACACATCATTCGCGATCTACGGGTTGACTGCATCTATTGCTGGATGTATTTATTAACATACCCCAAAATTTGCCTTGAATCAGTTTCATGCAGTGCCTGTTGTGTGTTTTAAAACAGAAAAAATATGATACATGCGCAAGATATGATATACACATACAGTATTTGAGTCTGGGAAAGTCCAATAGAGCATAGCATTACGACAAGTTTTGCTGCTGCCAAGGTTAACAAATGAACGTGAAGGATTACTGCATGGATTAATGTTTTTAATTCTGATCATTTTTCTCATCATCCCAGTATGCGTTTAAATTATACAAGTTTGAACATGCAAGTGAATATGATAGTTTTCTATTTCTTTCAATTAAATGTACCTGTGCTTTCATGCTTATCACTATTGTAAAAATGATAAATGGAAAAACAGCAATAAACTTTGATTAATGTAGTGTTACATTTTTCCTACACCTTTATTTATACCTTCTGCCTCAATAATCTCCTTTTGCCCAATTTTTTAGTTGTATACATTTTATCAGACTGTTCTGTAAGTCACACCATAGACAATGTTTTTCAAATCTGAGGAACAACAGCTGTAGTTTTGCTATTTTGGCAGAAGGAAATCAAAACTAATTGTTATTCAGTGAATAATATGTACATTCGTAATCTTGAATAGAAATCTTAGACCCACAAAATTTTAACGAACCCAAAATCTGAGCAGCAGCCTCTACTGCACCATTGTATACTTCAGATTCATGTCCTTGACTTGGCGAGATTAACTCCCACAAATTTTGAATGTAATTAACCACGAGAATCCAACCACAAGTTGATAAAGCCCACCATACAGACCAACGTAAGAGTTGAGGTGAGGAGTAACAATGTTTGAGGTCTTCAAGAAGTAGATACGTTACAGATTTCCAACGAGAACATCCTGAAGGTGCTGACGATAACTCCTGGACATCAGCTTCATGTTCAACAGAATCAGGCTAAAAGTTTTCGGTATCAGTAAGCATTCGTTGATTTGATAAGAAACAAAATATTAGGTCATTAATATCTACACAATAGATGATCAATACTATATTAACATATTTTATTAGTCAAATATAACATTTACCGGTATGCAACCGAAAGGTTTTAAAAAGACATTGAAGTTATAATATAAGGTATATCTCACTTGAGTATTGTCAGTAACTGGCGGTATCACAGTAATGTCACCTTCATCGATTTCGTCCACATTCTCAGCAACACTGGCTTTAACAGGCTCTGCTTTACGATAAAAATACAAACTTCTCTTTGGAAATGGCAGGAACAAAGCTATGATGAATCCAATAGAAACATTCACCAAAGAAATTACATTCAAATAAATATAATCGATATGAGCTACTGAAACTAGGATCTGTGAAAGTGCGGATCCGAGAAAAAGGCCTAGTTGAGTTGAACTCCTCACATATGATGTTGCTTTCTGATAATGCTCGGCATCAACAACGCTGTGACAAAATAAAAATTACTGACAAAAGTTGCCTGAGAATGATTAATTACCGAACATGCAACACACCAGAAGCAGGTAGTGAGTGGTCTCTAGCAGCACCAATCTGAGTGGAAATAATGTAAACTAGATATATTTCAAAATTATTATTGTAGAAGATTGTGGATATATAATATTTTCTTACGCAACATTTGGTCTGTTTTGCAACAGATTTGACCAGTTACTAGAATATTGTGATATTTTACATATCAGCATAAATAACTGTCACTACTAATTGCTGGGCTTCATCCCAGAGGTCAAAAGGTAGCATTCGAAGCAAGCATTTCCAAGATAAAACATTACAAAGCAGTTGCCAACCTGTATATGTATGAATAATAGCCTATTTCACAAGCAGTTGCGAGACCATAGAACACCTGCATAAGTTGCATGAGAGGAACTCCTCCAGAGAAAACAAGTAATAGCCAGCATCCTATGTATCTGTAAAAATTGCAAATAATTTTCATTAATATCCACTCAATTATGAGAAAAACATCAGTTTATCCAAGGCTGAGAAGCCAGTATTTATTTTTTTTTTGTATGATAACTAACATCAGCCCAAATGTAGTTTCATGGTAGCGGAACTCAAAATCATGGCATAAGGGTTCAAATATTTATTAAAAGTGAACTTTAATATTACTAGAATTTGAATATAGGAAATAGTTATAAGCCATAATGAATATATTTTATTTATATTTTCATTAGAAAACTATGTGAAAAAATAAATAATGATTCGGAGGGTCCCGCCAAAAGAAGACCAAATAATATTGCAATTTACAATGCATACAAAAAAAAATAACAACTACGTCCGAGATGACCAGAATTATCAAATACATTTACAAGTTTAGAATATATTATAATAAAGTGAATTGGTTGCTGCCTTGTGCTTGCATCTATCCTGAAGGTTTCACACATTTCAATGATTCACATGAATTCCAAACCATGATAAAGTATACCTAAGATAAGCATAGTGCTTGTGAATGAGAGCAAATAGATTTTTATAATATTATGTTCTTGAGTCAAGATAGCAGCAGCATCTGAGATCACATGCCAAGACAGCACATATAAATTATATTATTTTAGGAATATTTTTCAATGTTTTTATTAAAAAAATTGCTATTCTTTTCAAGACGGCAAAAATAGGTTTTATACTACCATGTTGAAAATATAGAAAATGAACGAAATAAGAGTTAAGATTAACTTCACCGCATTAATCTGATATCTGTGTTGAGATTAGAAGTTTAAAAAAATATTTCATATTATCCATTTAAATTTTTTGGTAATGAGTAATTATTACATTTATTAGCTACATAATTCAAGATTTAAAATATTCATTTCAATTTTCAATGGCTTAAAATAAGAAATAGTAATAATTATTAGTAACCTAGAATATTGGTTAGTTAGACATTAGGCAATCAGTATTAACACTTCTATTTAGCAAGAAAGAACTTCTCTAGCATGAAGTAAAATTTGAAAAGTTGTCCATAGGCAATTAAATATAGTGAGGCATACCCAACACCCTGCAAAGCAATGATTGGCTTATATCTCAGATAATCCGTCAGGAGAAATATCGGCACAAGAAACACAGTGTAAGAGTAAGACCAAACTGGATAAATCTGATTTACAATTTCCTCTGCTGACAGGTTCTTGTGCGGACCCTGGACAAAAATAGAAAATCAAACTGAAATAAGGAGTTTGGGAAAAGTACCAGTCATACTCCTGATATGAAGAGGAAAAAACACAATTTTGCTACACAGTGTTATTATTTTGATGCCTTGACAGAAGAAATTATGATGCCTGTAAGAATGTCGCAACAAACTAATTAAATCTGATATAAAACAAAAATTCAATGATGCAAAGAAGACCACTGGGACGATCACAACGAATCCAAACCATCACAAAATTGAAGCAACATGTACATCATACAGGTTGATGATAAATCCTAAGAGGGGCCATATGAAAAGATCCACAACTTGAATGTGTTACAAAACAGTTGCGGTTGCAAAAATGACTTGTATCTGGATCCTTGATGGTATTACTGGTAAGGGCAGTGTATATTGAATATCTCTAGAAAGTTTACATTGATTCTATTCCATGTAAATTCATATATGACAAATCGCATATAATCAGAACCAAGATACATGTATATTTTATCCAGCATTCATTATTACCGTAATGACTGAGGATGATTAACCAATCAGCGGGAAATTTAGCAGTGTGGATGCGTTTTGTCAGTTTGAATGCATGAAATAGTCATATAAAAATTAAGCCTTAATGTATAGTAAGTAACCTCACCATAAGAAATGGAGTTATGTACGGTTCTGATGGTTTGATATACGTGAAAAACCCATAGCTGCACAACAAAATTGTTGGTCCCAGCCAACTGCGTTCATGTCTTGAATGCTCCATAAATCTAAAACACAAGTCTACCCTATATATTTGTATTCTAAAAATTCTATATAACATATATATTTTTACATGGGAATTTGCTCAAGGGCACATACTCTGGAGAAAATAATGTGGTCTCTGAGCAAAGTTGTAGGTAACCATCGAAGTGCACCACCGAATATTAACAGAATTGTGTTGAACATAACTAACATACAATTGAATATTTTACATCTTGTATTAATTATAAATGTTTAAGTGTTCGTATTTTAAATGCTGTGTCGACAGATGATTCAATGAATTTCTTTTACCTTCCTATGTTATTGACTTGTATGTCTGTTATGTTGTGTCCGTCTCTATTGTCACATAAAATAGAGGTAGACAATACTTGTTGCAATTTCATGAGCTGCAGTTTATTTATGTGCGGTAGGCTACCGAGTTTAGCAAGCATGAGTGATTTATTTAGTATTTCAAAGGCAAGAAGAGTTGACATTGTCTTTATTCTTTGGGCCCATATTTTTACAAACTTCAAAAAGCATTAAGTACTCGTCACCGATAACAAAACTGAGATTTATTTGATTGAAGGCAGCAATTTTTCTCAGTTTTTTCTCTGATAATTCAGTAATTAGGCGCCGCATGAATAAAAAGTTTGGGAACCGCTGCTTCAAATCATTCAATCTGCGAAATGTAATGCGATGGTCTAAGGATGCGTCGTTGCCAAGCAATCAATCATGTCAATTCAACAATTCTGAATTCCTTCAGTCTCGATTGTATGCAATTTTTTTATGTCAGAACAGATATTCCATATTTGCATACTTGAAGATGCCAATAAAAACAGTATCTTAATTGCTTTGGAAAACCATCAAACAGGATCATTAAGCAAATACCAAAAGACAGAAATAGCCACTCTTCCACTGAAACTTGCAAAACTGAATATCAAGTAGTCTAAATTACCTACTGCTGTATTCCAGTATTTAGACTGAAAAAATGGTTCCCTCTTAATTCATATTACAGGAGATTCAAAGCCAGAGTCTGCAAGTGTTCAAATCCGAAAGGATCCTGAAGTACAGAAGTAGGATTCGGCAATGCTGCAATGTGAAACGATTTTCCCATTTTTGTATTTCCATTACGCTACTGGTACGGTACTTTATTTATCAATAAAAGCCGGCGTCAAAATTTCTCTAGTTTATTTGCTTATCGATAGCCAGCTTTTGATCGATAACTGAATGCATCACGTATAGTAGACTACGTTTGAATTTCGCGCGGCGTAGGCTACAGCGTGCCTGCATCGATACCGGTACCGTACCTGTAACATGTGCAATCATTAACGGTGCCTGTACCAGCCAACACTCAACAACAATCATATTTCAGGTTAAATACTTATTTCTTAAACTCCAGTTAAGCTTTCTTCTTATGTCTGTATGACGAGCGATTGTGCAACGAAATTTACAGCGTTACACCATAACATCGACATCTGCGAAGATGAATATAGATGACCTTTGTTTTGTCATTGATGATGCGGGATTACTAAAGGACGAGTGATGATAAGGCAATGGCGAAATAACAATCTTAAGCCCGGTTTATGATGTATTTATCAACGGCAACCGAAACGCAACTAGGTAAAGCGTATGTGATGATAACTGATAAATTTTCACCTCTACAAAAGTGGATTGAGGCGAAGACAATACAAACATTCATTGGGACAAATATTTGTGTTCACACATTTCAATAATAAAATTTAGCTTCTCTTTGACGGCTTTTGAAACTTCAAGGTGATTTATAACGTCAAATTATTGGTGAATCGTGTGATCCCTTTTTCGAATCGAATAATTCGAATATTTTTAACGAATAACGAATATTTTTTATACACATTAGGAGGTCCAGAACTTCGGTCGATACTCCCTTTGGAAATTAATAAAGACATAGAAAAATCGGCTACAAAGCGTTTTTTTACTGGTTAATTTCGTCATAATCGCTGATTGTTTTCGTCACCGTGGCCGTTTTTGTGCCGATATATAATCTATATTGCCGCCCTTTCTGTTTTTTGCAAGTATTAATTCTTTTGGGTCGGCGGACATCAAAGTTTATATTTCGGGTTTACCCGTGCGTTCACGTCGGCAACAGCTGTTAAAACCATTAAGGATTGATTTCAAAACCCAAATTAATATTATTCTAATTTTATCATTTGCATTGACTTTCATATTACTTATCCACGTTTGTAAATTTACCGTCACAATATTAAGCGAACGGTAATATTATTATCGATACCGGATGCAGATATTTATTAAGACAATACCGTAATTAACTTTGCTATGCTTTTCTATGGTGTCTATGTTACTTTACAGATAAACCTCGCAAAGCTGCGATTGTGTCAATCCCGAATGTTGATTTAAAATACTCTAGTGACTAAATAATTCGGCAATAAAGGCATTTCTGCGTGGCCATATGAAGAGATGGCGTTAATAAACATCACTTCTTGAATGATAATTTACATATGCGACTTAATGCTGAAAAAAATTACGCTCTTGTACTTTTGTGCCTAATGGATGGACAGGCGTTAATTATAACTAACTCCTTCAAGTTCCGACGTTTTCTTTCAACAAACCACGCGATCATTATAGCTTATATCGTTACCAAAGTGACTAGTTTCTAGTCACTTTGATCGTTACCGAGTAATTCAATATTTTTATTACGGAATTTGCAAATTCACTTTTACTTCTCTTGACGATTTTGATAATGTCACGCCCTATTTATTAGCGCAAAAATGCTCAAAATATAACGAATGTATAATCATTTCTGATGATACAACAATTCGTAAACAGTGCGCGTTGTTACATCGAAATTCAGTATTGATTTTACGTTATACTCCTGTTCTACACTCCACCCGCCATGCATGCCCGAGTGAAATGTTTACATTTTCGAAACATTACTTGGTCAAGAATGAAAAGGATCACTAAAGAATTATTTGGAACTACATTAAAAGAACTATGTCCTGCCATTTCTTTTCTGGTAATAGCTTGTTCGTGTTATACTAAGTATGGTTTCATGCGTAAGTTATTTCAACTTTTAATTTTCAACAAATTTATGCTTAGTTCATGCATGAAACGGCTAATCACGTGCCGCCAATCATACGGAGTTTAAAATCTGGGATATTTATTTTAAATACCTGATCTGATTTGACGTTTCTATATTTAGGGAACGGTGTCGGTACCCTTTTTTGCAAAATAAGAAATTGATATGAACGATTGAAACGCAAAGAAAACAAATAACACCACAACGCAAAGACGAATTTTCGAATTTGTCTGTTAGCGAGCGTTGTGGTGAATTCTCGCGCAATTCACGATCGGTTCAGAGACGTTCTGTGTCCAAGTGAATAGTCCGGCAGAATCGGGCCTTAACATTGTTTTGGGACATAAAGTTTTTTTTATTGTTTAGATATAATGTATAGGACATATATAATGATACCCAGGTGGGTGTGGAGTATATAATGTTGAGCAATTTTTTTTAAGTGGATTCAAAGTATTCGGTTCAAGATGACGCACATCCTGAACCCTAACCTGGTAAACATACAATGTTCAGGTTGTGCGCCATCTTGGTACGAATACTTCAGGAGCGCCTTTTTGTTAAAAACAATTATTTCATAACTACATGGTTTATTTTTGCATACATAGTAACATTGAATCTTCTTACAATGTCAGAAATTCAATTTTAGTAGAATAAATGGTAGTTTATTTCACTAATACAAGCTAAGATCCATCGACAGCATCTAGCCACTTTCTATTGCGCTCTTCAAACTACATTTGCGTTGCCGCGCGCATTTCGTTTTCCTAGTTAAAGCTTCGGGACTTGGGAAATATTTTATTAGTTGAATTGGATTGGAATATTTGACCTCGTCTTTCACTCCGAACAAGGCCATGTAAAATCATCCACTGGAACTAAAGATGTGTAACGTGTTTTCTTTTGGAAGAACCGCAACCTTTCAGTGCTGCATTGACTTTGGCAAAATTAATATATCCTTGTGGAGATAGAAGGTATGCGTATGCGAAACCGAGATGTGCACCTGTTATGCCAACATAGTTGAGTCAAACGTTTTGAATACTAGTACATCACACACATTTTCCTGCGTGCTTCGGTTGTACGTAGTAACGCGCACATTTTTGCGCACATGCATCAAATTCCACTTGATTATTGAGCTATAGGTTTTTAACGAGCTTTTGTGTATGATTTCATTCCATAGAATTTGTATGCTGTTCTAAAGAATACTAGTTTCAGCTTTTTCATTCATTCAAACCGCGTGTTGAAAGTAAGTTTTGTAATATTGCGTGTTGGTTTCCAACATCCTTAAATCGGTGATGCCAGTAAATCTTTAATACAGAAAGATCAGTAACACCTGCAATAAAAACAGCAGTACCCACTCAAATGACAGCTGGGGGATGTATACTCTTTGTATCTGCTCCATCGCGTGCCTCTTACAGTCTTACCAGTTTACATGAGTGCCAATTGGTATCTAAGCTCAGCCAGAGACAAAAAGTTTCGGACTGCAGCTGGCGTGACGAAATGTTTTTAAATATATATTATACAATAAGATTATTTGATTGCATACTACTGAAAGTTCCGCCTTATATGTCTTTTCCCATTGCACTATTCCTCTACTGATATTCGATAATATGACGCTCATCTGACATAGTTCTTAAAGTGTGTAGATGGGTATAATCTTTTCCACGCTGTTCAGATGGGAATGCGCGAATATATATAAGAATTGCTAATATTGGTTTGCAATGCGATGAAATCCCATCTTGGCATTTCTGCCTCTCGCAATTGCTGCATATACTTATCGGGGGGAAGTTCTGTGGCGGGGTTATCAAATGAAAAAAAAACATTTGGGTAATTTTCCTACTTCTCTACTACCATCAAACCTTGACATTTTGTGAAAACGTTTCTCCATGCAACCTTTTTTAAAACATCCCCAGCAACCACGATTAATTCTGTTATTAAACTTCCGAAATAAACACATAAAATCATCAACATTTGCATATCACCAAGTGGATATTACTGAATTGATCTTTATTTTACCATTTTTCATGTAATTCTTTTTGGTGAACCTGTTATCTATCGTAAATACAGCACATTTGACAATGTTGTAGTGTGACTATTTTGGCCTCACATTTTTGATATGTGTAGTTAGAGCTCTTGGGGCTCTGTCAAACAAAGTTCCATACAAAATATTGGTTGTAAATTGCAAAACATGATCATGTTGTTGGAATAACTTGGCATTATACCACCCGTATATCATTCATTGTTGAGAATATTAATAAAATCATAAAATTTAAAAATCCGTTTTCGTGAAATTTTTGTTGTAGCTGAATTCCAGGGACAGCATGACAACAGGCAAGCATCTTTTAGTTTATGACATGGTTTATTAAAAGGGGACCCCGTCCTCCTTGGAGGCCGCTGATCGGCTATCTGGGAGCACGAACAAACAGATGGAAATGCGAATATATAATAACAATGAATTTTTATAGAAGAGAAGAAGCAAAAGTGTTGAGAGTCTTTGGTAGTTTGAAAAGCATTGGCATGGAACATAAGAATGAACTACATTCTTTCTCAGGGATATACCATAAAATGTAGAATTTTTCTCATTCTTGTTCTCGTGATATCATTATCTTTCTCTGCGTCGTCGTGATCATCCCGCTGCATAACAATTCTCGCTAACAAATAATTGACTGTTCTCCACCGGGTGTATATCCACTTAAACCACTGGCGACTGCATTAGCAGACTTGTATTGTTAATTGCAACAAAAACGGGTATTTTGAAATAGTACTCTTTATTTTACGCGTATGTTTCGACAGTATTTCCATATACTGTATATGGGTCGCGATCCAAAGCTGGGCTCAACAAATACCTATGATGTTGATGATTTTAT